TGGAAATTGCGCTAAAAACGTCTTTTTAAATGTGGGGTCTGGTTATTTTGTGATGATAAGTGACAGACGTGATGTCATTTATGAATGATCCCTAAAACCCATAGTTATCCAAGGGATGACGGGTAAGGGGTCGTCCATAAATGACGTCACACGCCTAGGGGGGAAGGGAGGGGGTTAAGACTTTTGTGATGATGTGTGACGATGGGGAAGGGGGGGGTAGAGACAGTGTGACTTCACGTTGTCTTAATTCCACGAATTGATTAACTGTAACATGCATTTTTTTTTAGTTTTTAGAAAAATAAACTTACTAAATACTAAATAATTTTTTACATACTTCTAAGTTGTCAAAAGATTGTGAAATATATCGTTGTTCTAATGAAATTATTGCCCTATAATTTGACGATGTATGTTGTGTAGTAGACTGCCGTTTTTGCAAATTTGTCAATAGTGCTATATGAAAAAACTTAAAGGTCGGAAGCATATCAACTAGTGAGGGTAAGGCAGGGGTATCAGTGTAGTGCTTGCTATTCTTTTAAGTTTACAGAGTAGGGCAGTCATAATAAAACTTTAAACCCCGTTTCCCGAATACTTTATTTAAAAACTATTTACAGAACTTATGTTCACACTTAGGGCTGCGACTCTTGCCCTTGATGACACGCCTTGTCTCATGGTGTTCATGACGGTAGCTCATGCTTGTTGAACGATCTAGATTCTAGAGGAAAAATAACTTGTACGATCAGTTCCAAGGTCGAGATCACGTGATTTTTGTAGGTGCGGCCAAAAAAAGCGGATGTGTGTAGGGTCAGCTTGTGATTCGTGTTTATTCGATCAACTCAAATAGGCCTACACGTGTCTCGCTGAATAAACTTTGTCTGTGTGAAGCTTTTCAATTGAAAGTTAGATCTAATAATCCAATATATTCTGCTTAAAAATCGACTGTTAATAATGGATAAAAATAAAATGTTCCTGTGTATTTTTTATGCCTACGTGCTGGCATATCCTACAAAAAGTAAAAAGATTTGCCAAGAAGAAGTCGTTGAAAAGTGGACTCAACTAAAAAGCGATTCAGATCTGCACTTGAAAGCGGAGGTCTGGCTGCAGGAGCTAAAAGCAATTGCTGCCGCTAAAAAAGGCTCACTTTTGACGTTTTAGGTCAAACAAACATTTGTGTCTTCAACTACAGATAAGAAAACATCCTATGATTTGGCAAAAGAATACCTAATACTAATAAGTCACTGAAGTCAGATGAAAAAGTGAACGATGCTCATAAAGTCAGTGATTTCAAACCCTCTACTAGCAAACTATCAACATCTAAGCAGATAAACTTACAATCAGAGATTGAGATTCTGAATTCTGATCTAGTCGGCTTGTATGATCGACAAACTCGCGGAATGTTAATGCATGAACAGAACATGGAGTTAAAAGAAAAGAAACAGAAAAAGAGTGATTTGGAAAAAAAGCTAAAGAGGATGATATCTGATCAAATAAGATCTCAGAAAGCTCGAAATGAAAAGAAAAGAAAACTGAATGCTTTGTTTGAAGAGAATCCGGGGCTACGCGCCACTTTGAATGTTAGATCTAATTATGGCAGGCCAAGGATTGAAGAAGATCAATCTTCTTTATTGGAAACTTTCATAAACATTGCTATGCATGGATCAGCATCACACGAGAGGAGGCAGAACGAAGTCTACAGGACTATTAAAACATTAGATCAGCTAACTGATCAGTTAAAACAGGATGGGTTTATAATTAGTAGAAGCGGGCTGTACCTTCGACTGTTGCCAAGACGTACTTCTTCTCATGAAGGGCAACGACATGTATCGACAGTCCTAGTAAAACTGATAAGAGCGCAAAACGATTGCCATGCAAATCACATTGATCGCTTGTTTACAGCGGCAACACTGCATCACCTAGAAGAGTTAGCTTCCATGCTTGGACCGAATGAGGTAAGCTTTATAAGCCAAGATGATAAGGCCGGCGTTCCGCTTGGGTTGACAGCAGCTAAAAAACAGAGTCCATTGCTCATGCACATGGAATACAGGGTGAGCTTGCCTGACCATGACTGGGTTGTGGCTGCTGGACATAAGCTGATCCCTTCAGTTTATGCCGGGATAAAAATTCAGCCCAACGCCTTGGGAAATCGAGAAGCTGTTGGATACTCCGGCCCAACATACATATCAATCAGATCTGGTAAACATTCCTTATCCACAGCGCTTAGTCATGTACTTGATTTTGAAAAATTACTTACTTTACACGAATTTGATGATATCACAAAGAGTGGTGTGGATCAAATTGTTAAACCAATATTGGTGTTGACGGTTGATGGTGGTCCAGACGAAAATCCTAGGTATCAAAAGGTGATCAAAGTTGTGGTACACCACTTTCTTTATCAGAACTATGATGGTTTGTTCATTGCTACCAATGCACCAGGAAGAAGTGCATTTAATAGGGTTGAAAGAAAAATGGCGCCACTTAGCAATGAGCTCTCAGGATTAGTTTTACCCCATGACCACTACGGCAGTCATTTGTATGTAAGAGGAGTCACAATAGACACAGATTTAGAGAAGAAGAATTTTCAGTTTGCCGGAAACACTTTGGTCATACTTGACAGTGGATACATTTCCTACAGTGGCAGCATACATAGATCCAGAAGATTCTGAACTCCTTGAGACTTCTCTGCTCTCAAAGGATCAGCGTTGGCACGATATTCATGTGAGAACTAGCCAGTATTTGACTCAGATCGTTAAATGCAGGATGGTAAATGTTGCTCAAAGCCAAGAAGCTCGTATTTCAGCTTAATAACTGATAGGTTTCTTCCTCCACCTTTACCAGTCGCCCAAACAAGCTGTGGACTAACAATAACTGAGCGTTCAACAGATGGCTCTTCACATAAATTTCCATCTCTTTTTGTTGCTCAAAGTATAAAAGTGGATGAAATCCTTCCCCGCTCTTCAAATCCTTATCGCACAATCCCTTATGATTTGTATTGTCCGTCTGTTCAATCCGTGATCAGCGACAGGGTTTGTAAGAAGTGTCATTCATACTTCTCTTCATTGGTTATGCTGCGCAATCATTCTTTAACTCACAAACAGGAATCATCAATTGTGCCATTACAGCGCATCAGGCCTCTGAGAGTTGCTGCACGTCGCCAACGTGAACTGATGGTTATAATTGCCAATGAAATTAATGGTGAGAGTGTAGATTGGATAGAAGAGGAAGACCTTGATGTAAAGGGAATTCCCAGCTTAAATATCACAACTTTTAATTGAGGATTGCCATATTAATACTGTTGTAAGTAGTTTTTTTTTAAAAATACTTCTATTAATGATCTTGCTAAAACAGCAAAACACGCAATTTAATAATCTGGTGGAGAGTCTTTACTATTAAAAATCAATGACATTTATATTGCTTTGTGAGAGATGACATCCGTTAAGTCCATTATATAGGCTACAATGAAATATACTAAGAAAATTAAAGGTCTGGGCATTGTGCTAACATTTAAATAATTTGCATATTATACTCAATATATTGTTATTCTCACGTGTGTCGTCATGTCTGCAAGAAATATCTACATTTACATTAAGTATTTTAAAAAAAAATTAATCCTTTCAGCTTTAACGTTACCTCACTGTATTACTGTTTACCTGCTGGTGCCACGAATGGGTCCTGCACGCTCATTATTAATGCTGTGTCAACGAGGGGTAATTTTAAAGGGATGAAAACACAGCAAATTTAAAACATAGGATAAAATGTAAATTAGGGGGGGGGGGGTGGAGTGTGACGTCATTTTAGGGGGGGGGGGTCTGACTTTTTGTGACGATGTGTGACGTAGGGGGGGGGGGGAGGGGGTAAAAAAATGGCCAAAAAAGCGTGACGTCATTTATGGACGACCCCTAAGTCTAGTTTTTAGTTAAAACTACAAATAAACACTCTCAATCATGATGAATAGTGAAGGCCTAGTTAATCATCAAATATCAGTCATTCTGAGAACTTGATTGGTTTTGTTTATATTAGATTCAGTATATATTTGTATATTATGCTTACATTTAAGTCTTGAAAAATTGTAGATCTAGAACAGGGGTCTCCAAACTACGGCCCGCGGGCCGAATGCGGCCCGCGAGGTCCTCTCATCCGGCCCGCGGAGATCTTTTTGTCCACGGAAAAAAATGTTTGTTAAGGGTGACTGAGGAACTATGAACAGAAAAGTCAAAACAATTTGAAAATGTAGCTTTGGATGAAAATATCATTGCCCGCCGTGTTGCAGACATTGGTGAATACATTGTGACTCAAATAGCGAAAAATGCAAGCAAGTTTCGCCAATTAAAGACAATGTTGCAAGTTGCCCAGATGAACTGCAGATGGGGGTCATTGAGTTGCAAGCAAATGACCTACTTAGAGATAAGTTCAAACAAGGGTGGGGGGGGGGGGGTTATAAGGAAGACTTTCCTAATATTACAACTTTTGCATCAAGGTACCTTTCAAATTTTGCAACAACATACATGTATGAACAAACATTTTCAATAATGAAATACGTGAAAAACAATTTGAGAACAAACTTGGACCTCGAGTGTGTTGTCGGACCCAAACAGTGTTTCTTTCTGACTTTTTTCTCAGCGTGGGCGGGGGGGGGGGGGGGGGGGGGGAGAAGGGACTGACGACTACGACATTTGAAATTTGTATACATTTTATATTTTATATTTAAATTATATTTCGTTGGGGGGAGGGGGGGGGCGGTAGACTTTCTTCAGGGGGGGGGCTGGAAAAAAACTCTGGCCCCCGAAATGATATTTGATAGTTAATGCGGCCCTCAGACTAAAAAGTTTGGAGACCCCTGATCTAGAATCTAGACCTAATCTCCAACGGTTGATTTATACAATGAATCAATAGTATTTGAACAAACGATATGCCAGGGGAGGGAAGCTAAATATTCTCAAACAAACGTTATTTTGTAGTGCTCTACCATGAGACTTCTGTCATTTTTCTCCGTTTTTCATTGGTTACGTTAGCAAGAAAATTATCTGGAACAATATGGTGGCTCTGACTACAAGTCAAACAACTACATCAAGATTTACGATAAAAACAATATTCTCTCTGTTTTGTTTTCTCTGATTAAATTACACTGTTAAAAATGATGTGGAAAATACCTTTCGGATAAATACTGTAGATCTATCATCTTGGCAATGAATTACGGGAAAAAAATTGTTTTATTTCGACCTTCTAGTCGTAGTATTGAAAGGTACGCTGCAAAAAAAAAAAGTGATTGATTAGGCTTAGAATCTAGATTCTAGATCTAGACTAGATCTAGATCTAGACTAGATCTAGATCTAGAAGAATCTAGTCTAGATCTGGATCTAGTGTTGAATGTAAATTTTAGTAAATTTAGAATATGGTAAAACTCCATTTTAGCGTATTTTATTAGCACCTTCACATTCACCTCCAGTTGAGCGTATTTTATTAGGATTAGGCCAGATCTAGATCTAGATACAGCCGGAAAAAGATATGCATGCGCAATGGAAACTACAACTTGCCTTCGCGGCATGCATGTGTTTACAACCCTAACCCTAGCCATAACCCTAGCTCACCTATTAATAATTAATGGTTACTGCGCATGCGCAGAACTATCTTTTGCCTACCAGGTGGAGACGCTGGGGCGAAAAATCTTTTTCTGAGTAGTCACTTCAATTTTATTATAAACACAACAGCAACACACAAGAACGTTAGGCAAACTGGTAATCTATCGTTTTAGGTGTTCGAATCGACTGTTGCCGCAAACAAATGTATTGTTACAAAGAAATTTTGTATTATAGGTCTAACTGCTGTCTACAATTTATTTTTCATTGTATAAATATCAATTTTGTTAATTTTCAAAAATGTTTATAATTAAAATTACTTAAGCTCAGAAAAAATGACACTTTTTAATGGTTTATTTATAAAGAGATTGAAAGGTATTGGATTTCACATTATCAAGGTGGCTGATAACATCAACTCACAGTGACCCCAAGCACATTTATTATATTTCTATTTCTCAGGCCATGATCTATGCTAAAGTTTTTACGTGCATTGCCTTTGACCCCTAAAACAGTTTTATTATTCCCACACCCATTAGGAAACATATGCAGGGCGACAGTGTTTAAAATTTTAAATATAGATCTAGATATAGATTTAATAAAATAGTATGGTTTAAAATAATATTCTCTTTATGAACGCATTGTCTCTCGTCGACAGAGACAAAATTATCTCTCGCTGACCAGAAAATTTGAGCTGGTGATTGTAGGAACATTGATGTTATGATTTTTTTATAAAAATAAACCGGGAGTGATCTCCCCTAAAGTTTCTCGAATATTCTTATATAACTTGGAATGTAGACATGATTTTTAATTACTTAAACTTTTAAAAATAGAATAGAATCTCATAGAAAAAAACATTGCGCACCAAACAAACGCCGAAACAAAATGTGCATAATAGTGCGCAATATTAATTTTTTTATTAGTACTTTATAAATTTACTTGCGTTTTCTGAGAAATCGGAAATAGCATAAATTAGTACTTCCAGTCAACGAAAATTACTCAAAATTTGATAGAAGTTAGAGAATTAGATCTATTACTTACATGTGAAATTTCATTTATCTATCTGAAATAGTACTCAAGTTATAGGCTTTTGAAAAATTCAAAGTAGAAAAAGTACCACTTCCGGTTATCGAAAATCGCTAAAAAGTTGATACGGATCTATGATTTTGATAAAATACTTATATATGAAATTTCATCAACCTAGCTGTAACGGTACTCAAGTTATCGTGTTTACACACAGACACACACACAGACAGACAGACAGACATACGGACAAGATTGCAAAATTATGTTTTTCCGTATCAGTGAGGTGTAAATCTCGATTTTTTTTTTTTGCACGATTACAAGACTTTCTCTATACTTCGTATATACGAGAAAGTAAAAATCTAAACTAAATCAAGAAGAATTTATTTTTAAAAAGAACAACGTACAACACTTGTGAGATATCTAGATCTACTTGTTTAGTTTATAACTTTTCTTCTCACACATCTGGTGAGAAAAAAAACTCCAAAAGCATGAAACAAAATAAATGTCTAGCAAATTGTGTCTTGCTATTTACTAGTACCCAGTAGGTCTCACATTTTTGTCTCGCTATTTACCCCCTCCCCCCAGGATCACACATTGTCACAATATCAGAGGCGTAGCGAAGGCGGGGTGGGGGGTACGGACTGCACCGGGTGACACCATTTAATAGGGAGGTGACACCACGGCAGAATATAGCAAAATGTACAGAAGGTAGATTTACATTTTAATTCTCATTTGAAATATTTAAAGAGTTGTGTAACAGCAAAAATGGATTCAACTACACAGGTGGTAGCCTAATTAAAATTAAATAATTACACAATTTTAAACTAGTTAAAAGTTTCTACAAGTCAAGTTAATGAATGACATTTTTTTGTAGCGAAAGTGTCTTGAGCTTTGATGATCTTGAGGATGATGAAAAAGATAATGTTAAACGGTAAGTAGAAAACATTAATATTAATTATCAAGCAAAGCATATTAGTAGATCTGATTAATGTAAAATATCAGAAGTACACATTCTTCAAATTACCTTTATTGCCAGTTGCCTGAATAAATGATATTAAAAAAATATTAATTCAACATGTTATGTTGGTAGCCAAAATTGGTTGATTGACTTAGTAATGAGTACACAAATACTCAAAAGCTACTCATAGTGTTAAGACACACATGACATATTATCACGTTAAAAATTGTCATATTACAAGAGCGACCTGTGGTCAGTAGCACACGCCTAATGGTCTTTGCACGTCGTCAGTTTGGTTTAACTTCTCTTACACGAAGTAGTAATAAGATACAATAAGAGTTTTGATTTCATGATTTTCCAGCAAGACCAGAAATCTGAGTGAAAAGAAAAGGAGGGACCAGTTCAATGTCCTCATCAATGAGCTTTGTTCTATGGTGGCTGCCAACTGCAAAAAGATGGACAAATCCTCTGTGCTCAAGTCAGCCATACAGTTCCTACGCAACCATCAAGGTTATACCCAATAGCTTATACAATGCCTTCATCTCTTCTCATTTCAGCAATGTTAAGTGTCTGGTTTAGGTCGTGACAGTGATTCACAAGTCTGATGGTGCACACATTGTGTTGTTACAATATATATTAGAATTTTGTGTGTTGTTCATCAAGTTTTGTTATATTCGGACACAATGGATAATGTATGAAATCCCCACTGAAGATATTGCTTTGTTTCAGAATTTTCTGTGCAGTCTGCTGCTTATGAAATCAAGGAAGATTGGAAACCAACCTTTTTATGTAATGAAGAATTTGCTCAACTGATGTTAGAGGTAAGACTGTCTGATGAGCCAACAGACTGAAGGGGCTAGTTTGATGTTCCCCATCCATTTGATATAAGCAGCCTGTTGAAATATGTCAACACTTTATTCCCAGGCTGTTGACAGTTTTCTGGTGGTCTTCACACAGCAGGGGAAAGTCGTGTTTACATCTGACAGTGTCACCTCTTTGCTAGGTCATCTACCTGTAAGTAGTGAAATGTCCCTGCTGGGTCCCTTACTCACTGTTTGTATTTGGTCATCCACACAATGTCTGTATTATGTCACTCACCTTGTATGTATTAGGTCACTCACACAATGTCTAATTTTCAGAGTGATTTGATTAACAACTCCCTGTATGACTTGATGCATGAAGATGACAGAATCAAGTTGTTTAACTTACTGTCTAAACAACAAAGTAAGCTCCTTTTTTAATTCAACTCTATGTACTGATACAATAAGAAAGTATGTTCCACTCTTTGTATGATCAGATACAACAAAAAAGATTCACTCTTTGGTTTAACTGTATGGTATGATACAACAACACTCTTTGATTCAACTGTTATCTATTGACAAGACTTGTTAGTGTAGGACTTTTGACAAGACTTGTTACTGTAAGACTATTGACAAGACTTGTTACTGTAGGACTATTGACAAGACTTGTTAGTGTAGGATGATTGACAAGACTTTTTAGTGTAGGACTATTGACAAGACTTGTTAGTGTAGGACTATTGACAAGACTTGTTACTGTAGCACTATTGACAAGACTTGTTAGTGTAGGACTATTGACAAGACTTGTTAGTGTAGGACTATTGACAAGACTTGTTACTGTAGCACTATTGACAACAGACAAGACTTGTTACTGTAGCACTATTGACAAGACTTGTTACTGTAGCACTATTGACAAGACTTGTTACTGTAGCACTATTGACAAGACTTGTTACTGTAGCACTATTGACAAGACTTGTTAGTGTAGGATGATTGACAAGACTTTTTAGTGTAGGACTATTGACAAGACTTGTTAGTGTAGGACTATTGACAAGACTTGTTACTGTAGGACTATTGACAAGACTTGTTAGTGTAGGACTATTGACAAGACTTGTTACTGTAGGACTATTGACAAGACTTGTTACTGTAGGACTATTGTCAAGACTTGTTACTGTAGGACTATTGACAAGACTTGTTAGTGTAGGACTTTTGACAAGACTTGTTACTGTAAGACTATTGACAAGACTTGTTACTGTAGGACTATTGACAAGACTTGTTAGTGTAGGATGATTGACAAGACTTTTTAGTGTAGGACTATTGACAAGACTTGTTAGTGTAGGACTATTGACAAGACTTGTTACTGTAGCACTATTGACAAGACTTGTTAGTGTAGGACTATTGACAAGACTTGTTAGTGTAGGACTATTGACAAGACTTGTTACTGTAGCACTATTGACAACAGACAAGACTTGTTACTGTAGCACTATTGACAAGACTTGTTACTGTAGCACTATTGACAAGACTTGTTACTGTAGCACTATTGACAAGACTTGTTACTGTAGCACTATTGACAAGACTTGTTAGTGTAGGATGATTGACAAGACTTTTTAGTGTAGGACTATTGACAAGACTTGTTAGTGTAGGACTATTGACAAGACTTGTTACTGTAGGACTATTGACAAGACTTGTTAGTGTAGGACTATTGACAAGACTTGTTACTGTAGGACTATTGACAAGACTTGTTACTGTAGGACTATTGTCAAGACTTGTTACTGTAGGACTATTGACAAGACTTGTTAGTGTAGGACTATAGACAAGACTTGTTACTGTAGGACTATTGTCAAGACTTGTTACTGTAGGACTATTGACAAGACTTGTTACTGTAGGACTATTGACAAGCTGCTCCCATCTGTTGCAGGTGAGGATACAATAGCTTTTACCTGCCACCTGAGACGAGGAACCATAGACCCAACTGAGTCGGTCACGTATGAATATGTCAAAGTGTGTGGAACATCCCAGTACATTGGGGATGTAGAAGGTAGATCCATAAGTCATTTTTGAATTTATTGGCTTAACAAAAACTTGAAAGTCAACATAAAATTTATGTTAACCCTTGTTTTAAAATAACTTAATAAAAATGATAGACATGAGACCATTATTAAAGACAACTTAAGACATGGGTGGTGAACACAAGGGGACGGGATATGTTACTATGTACAAACAACATTCACCCCTTTCATTCCCTTCACTCATTCACTATATTCTGAGGAAAATATGCTTCTTTTGGACAAATTAATGATAAGAATTATTTTTGATGAGTTCTTATTCAGTCCATTTTCTACAAAAATTAGGGATTGACTGCTGAATGACTTTTGGCAGCATAAATAAATGTTATGCATGAGGTTTTACTAAAAAAAAAATTCTGTAAAATACAAAATAGCCAACAGGAAAACTACAAGAAGTAAATACAATGTAAAATGGCAATTCTAGCGATATCACAACCTATATTTACGATTTAAAACTTGGATTCTGAAAAACAAATAAAATAGAGACAATATCTAAAGCTGGGAGCTTCGATTTGGTTTGGCAGGCTGGCGGGCCGACCGCTGAGAGCATCATTAAGGTCTTTAAGAGTTATATTAATTTAAAAATAACCTTCCCTCTTGTTCACCCCATTTGTTAATTAGCCTTCCATTGAAGCATGAACTGAGAGTTATTTCAATTGCCAGATGAGAGTATGCTGTGTGATGACTACATTGGAATAGACATGCCATTTGTTAATTAGCCTTCCATTGAAGCATGAACTGAGAGTTATTTTAATTGCCAGATGAGAGTATGCTGTGTGATGACTACATTGGAATAGACATGCCATTTGTTAATTAGCCTTCCATTGAAGCATGAACTGAGAGTTATTTCAATTGCCAGATGAGAGTATGCTGTGTGATGACTACATTGGAATAGACATGCCATTTGTTAATTAGCCTTCCATTGAAGCATGAACTGAGAGTTATTTCAATTGCCAGATGAGAGTATGCTGTGTGATGACTACATTGGAATAGACATGCCATTTGTTAATTAGCCTTCCATTGAAGCATGAACTGAGAGTTATTTCAATTGCCAGATGAGAGTATGCTGTGTGATGACTACATTGGAATAGACATGCCATTTGTTAATTAGCCTTCCATTGAAGCATGAGTAGCTAGGCCAATGCCGCTGCCGAGAAAATCGGACAAATCGGCTTTTCCCTACCCCCTGCATGTTTAACTCTGTTTTTTGCATGCTTTTATTGTTTTTATTTTAACATGTTATACATCATTCTGTTCGTAATTGAATAACCTTTTTAACTGTATTAGTTTGATTTCTGTATTATTTCAGACGTTGAAGAAATCGCCGATTAAATCGCATTTTTTACCCTCCGCGGCGACGTGCCGATAAGGGGGGAGGCTTTTTCACCTTTTTAAAAGGGGGGTGTTACTTGGAGTCTATAGACTCTGTGAGTTTTCGTACTACAACTGTGAAACTTGGTAGAAGAATAGATTAAATGTACACGTATAACGCTCAGGGTTCTTGGTTAAAATATGTTAAATACTTTCGGAGATATCGGACCGCAAAGTTAAACTAAGTTATTTGAGCTATTTATGGACCGATTTTTTATTTGAACCCTGAGCTGTATTCTTGAAATCTCGACGTTTATTAATATGTATCATATGTCCTATAAGGCCCTATAATAAGGACGTCTATAGACTTTGAAATGGACCGAAAATATAAACACGACGCGCCGACCGCTGTTCGACTGAACCGCCCTGCTGTGCTTCGAATCGCCGTCTTTAACCTGATGACGCGTTACAAAATTTGTATACACGTATCGAGTTTACGTACTACAACAGTTAAATTTGGCAGACGAATACATTAAATGTAGACGTATAACGCTCAGGGTTCGTGGTCAAAATAAGTTAAATACTTTTGGAGATATCGGACCGCAAAGTTGAACCAAGTTTCCCGGTCTATTATTGGACATATTTTACATTTGAACCCTGAGCTGTATTTCCGAAATCTCGACGTTTATTTAAATGTATAACATGTATTATAGCGCCTCGTAATAAAGCCGTCCATACATTTTAAAACCGAACGAAAATAAAAATTAACGCGTCGGCCGCCGTCCGACTGAATCGCTCTGCTGTGGTGATCTACACATCGTGTGGCACAGCCGAGTGTGTGGTCACGTGACGCTAGGCGCTTGATCCGATTGGATGATACTATAAACAATGTCTAAAGATAGATACATGTGTTCCCGTGTTTGACTCGACGGCTATTGCTACTTTATATTTATAAGCACACAGACATGTTGCATAACTTTGTCTTAACCCATTGAAACGTCAAACAAAAGTTTTGTTAGTATTTACGGCTGAGGACTAATCGTCAAAATTAATCTTCTTTAGAAATTAATCCGAATAGCTTCGGCCCGATCAAACAATGCTGTGATGTGATTCGTGTAACGTTTCATAATTGTGTACATTACTTTTTCGTAAAATTGGCTTTAAAAAATAAATTAAATTATATCCGGGGCTCTTTTCTACAAATTTTAATACCACTAACAACGTGGGGGTTACTAGCTTGCCAAATCGACCAAAATGGGGTGGGGTGGATGGGGCTAGCCACTGACCATCCTACACCGTATGTAACATCCATAGCCTCACCCCGCCCCCACTAGTCCGTGACGCGACAAGCCGACGAGCATCGCTTTTGATGTTGTATAACACCCGTACGGTACCCGAGCGGCTCGCGGTGGTTTCATACCCCACCACCCTCCCCCTTCACTTTGTGGAGTTGATGTTACTAACCCTAGGGCATAGATCAGGAAATCTTGCCAGACTTTTGTCTCTAAAATTACATAATATTCGTCTGACACGTTCATCGGGTTGGCCGACTAGCCTATCCAGCGGTAGTGTTTACGTAATAGGGCAATAAAATTCGTTGGTCAGAAGACCTGGTTACCCACATGTCTGATTGAACTAAATCTAGGCAAAAGCTGGTGGTGGTACACGTGTCTGTGTATAGCCAAACACGGCAATCTTACACAATTTCTAGAATCTACTAGATCTACACACTCAAGCACTCAAACACGTGCTTTTTTCTTAAGAAAGTTGTTAATTGTAAAAGGCCTACTGGTAGGCTTACAAAATACATAAACCTACTTACTACTAGCCTAATCATTGAGCATAAATATAAATTTATGTTATATATCTATAACTTACACTATACTTTGTGCAAGTTTTTAAACAAAATATTTTCCTCCCAAGTTTATTTTATTGACATTGTAAAAATGATTAACTTTAATATGGGTAATAATATTACGTAATTACAATAAAGCACACTCTTATTCTGATCAGACACATTTGTAACAAGGCTAATTCTTTAGCAAAAAGGATTAAGATATTTAAAATAACAAGAAATATAATTATAATGAGATAGGCTTATATTTTTGGAATAGAGTAGGCCTATGGTATTGCACATAAATTACATAACATCTTTTAAGAAGTTACATAATCACAAATTTACTATAGCATTCTTGTCTTTGTATTGAAAAACTTGATTAGTTATATTTTCTTCTAGTAGGCTATTAACTTGAAGTTTACTGACAATAAGCAAAAGTGATTTTAAAACAAATTCATGGTATATTTTGAGCAAAGGGTGGGATTACATAACCTTAACATTTGATAGTTATGTAACAATGTTGGACCATTTTAAATCTACCATTATCTTGAGCTTATACAAATGTCATATTTTAGATTAAAACAGCGTTACATTTAAAAGAATGACTTCTTATCACATTGATTATTAGATGTTTAAAAAAATTGAAAGGGGGATATTACATAATCTATGAGATTAGTAGGTTGAGTAATCGAATGACACTTTTTAAAATAGCATCATTGGATTCAGCATACAAAAATCTATAAAATGTCTTAAAATTACATCAATTGATAAAGTATTCTGGCTTTTATACCACTTTTAGTGAAAAACGCTTAAAAATTTGGTCCATACCCTCCCAGTATTTTTCCTCTTTCAGGGTCTACCCCGGTTGTCTGAAAAAACTGCTGTTTTTTAATGACTAAAAAAATCATAACTTTTTTGTTTATGGTCAGATTTTGAAAATTCAAACTGATCTGTAATCAGATTGACAGCCCCTATCCAAATATGTAACTATTATATTGTTTTACTGAAATTAAATTTTTGCATTGGCCTAGCTAGTTCTGAACTGAGAGTTATTTCAATTGCCAGATGAGAGTATGCTGTGTGATGACTACATTGGAATAGACATGCCATTTGTTAATTAGCCTTCCATTGAAGCATGAACTGAGAGTTATTTCAATTGCCAGATGAGAGTATGCTGTGTGATGACTACATTGGAATAGACATGCCATTTGTTAATTAGCCTTCCATTGAAGCATGAACTGAGAGTTATTTCAATTGCCAGATGAGAGTATGCTGTGTGATGACTACATTGGAATAGACATGCCATTTGTTAATTAGCCTTCCATTGAAGCATGAACTGAGAGTTATTTCAATTGCCAGATGAGAGTATGCTGTGTGATGACTACATTGGAATAGACATGCCATTTGTTAATTAGCCTTCCATTGAAGCATGAACTGAGAGTTATTTCAATTGCCAGATGAGAGTATGCTGTGTGATGACTACATTGGAATAGACATGCCATTTGTTAATTAGCCTTCCATTGAAGCATGAACTGAGAGTTATTTCAATTGCCAGATGAGAGTATGCTGTGTGATGACTACATTGGAATAGACATGCCAGAACAAGCCCTGTGCTTCTGCTGTACTGTCCGCCTGCAGACCTCCCACATCATCAGAGAGATGTCTGGTGTTGATGAAGCTACAAGTGAATTTACTTCTCGACATTCATTAGAGTGGAAGTTTCTATTTCTTGATCACAGGTCTTTTTCTTTTCAGTGTCTTAGGACTTAACTGGATATGTTGTAATAGATTTAACTGGCTATATTGCAATATAACTTACCTGGACATGTGAGTTATCTAACTTTTGTTATGTTATCATCTAACTTATGAATGTTCTCTTTCAGAGCCCCACCCATCATTGGCTACTTGCCCTTTGAAGTGCTGGGTACATCAGGCTATGACTACTACCATCCAGATGACCTTGAGGTTGTTTCAACATGTCATGAACAATGTGAGTCCTTAATGGTTTGTGGATAAATGTCCTCTGGCCTCGGATGTAATGTCGGATTGTAACATTACATGACAGGACTATAGGCACACTATGCACCTTATCACAGGAATCTGCTTTATCCATTTGACAAAAATTTTCCGACCCATGCAAAATCGATATTTTTCCCCCAACCTACCTTTTTCAAAGAAAATCAGAAATCTTCTTCGTCAATCTACTTTTCTGTTAAACTAAAAAAAAAGATGTATTTGAAGACCTATTTTATGAAACCAAAATGTGCTGATACTAGAGTTTGTGGAAAATCTAGTAATGTGAGTTTTAGATCTCAAAAAGTGGTTTAAATAAAAGTCTGGAACTTAATTTTAGAACTAAAACACAGAGGTGCGTATTTTTGAACGAACAAAAAGTCTATTGGATTAACTCCAATTGTTTTCTCCCACGTAAGAAGGATCGCATGGGTCTACACTGCATCACCTGAATGTTGACGTAGTTATAATGTCGTGGGGGGTGTTAGTCTACAGCATGTCAACTTATTGTGACCCTGTGAATGTGCTATTAATTTTTATATATTGTTATTTGTTGAAAGTATGATCGCACATGGACACTGTATAGGCCTACCACCCGACATTATCCACTATTTTTTTTATCCAGTTATTCAGAGGTTGCAGGTAGTCAGAAAAAAATATTTTTTATTGTATGGAGAGCTGGGTGGGGCTGTAGACCAAACTTTTTGTGCTTTGTCTATCTGGCTATTAATGATATAGGTAGAGGGTAAAATTCCGTTAGTTAATGTGACGTTATTTATTAACGTCTGCCAGTCTATCATAGACCCAATGCAATAAAAATAACTATTCTAGTGTAACTCTAGAATTATACTAGTGTAACTCTAGCAGAGATGTAACTTTTCCATTGTTACGGAATGGCTTTTTCTATTAATTTTAAACTGACTGTAAGTCTCCAATCTAACTCAAGTTGTATAAGAAACATCCCACACTTAGCTTTAACAATGTTATTGACAGTGATGCTGCTGGGGAAAGGAACGTCCAAGTTTTACAGATTTTTGACCAAAGGCCAGCAATGGATTTGGCTACAGACCCGTTACTTTATAACCTACCACCAGTGGAGCTCTAAACCTGAGTTTATTGTCTGCACCAACACTGTTGTAGGGTAAGTTGATCTTTTCATTTTCCTCTAGATATAAAGTTGATCTTTTCATTTTCCTCTAGATATAAAGTTGATCTTTTCATTTTCCTTTAGTTATAAAGTGGATGTTCTCATTTTCCTCTAGATATAAAGATGATGTTCTTTTTTCTAGATATAGCAGTGTAAGAAAGCAGCTACGCCAGGATATGGGATATGTTGAAGTGGATCAGGCGTCAAATGTCAACACTCATGCATCCAATGTCAATAATCAGACATCAAATGCCAACACTGAGAGCACTGCCACAGTGCAGGAGACTCAGCAGGAAGCTCATGTGACATCTGTCAGCCAGTCAGATAAAGTTGCCAGCATTGTACAGTCGCCTGATGTTGCTTCAAGTTAGTTATTTAAATATAAACCAGTTTTTATTTCCATTGATGTGTCAGTTAACTTTTGACTTATATTGATGTGTCAATTAACCTTTGACTTCTATTGATGTGTCAGTTAACCTGTGACTTCCATTGATGTGTCAGTTAACCTGTGACTTCCATTGATGTGTCAGTTAACCTGTGACTTCCATTGATGTGTCAGTTAACCTGTGACTTCCATTGATGTGTCAGTTAACCTGTGACTTCCATTGATGTGTCAGTTAACCTGTGACTTCCATTGATGTGTCAGGTCAGCATTCAGACAGTGAGTGCCCCCAACAGCCCCACTCCACCAAAAGAGAGAGCTGTACACGTGTCAACAGCCAGCTCCAGTCCCTGCTACAGCTCCACCTCCAGCGTTCAGGCCAGGCTAGCATCTCTACTACAGCAGCCTTGACCCACTCACAGGGCACCACACTGGCCTCATCCTCTGCCCAAACTAAGGTTAGCTCTTTTTTATATAGGTGATGGGGTAAAGTATGACTGGAGGATGGTATGACTGAAGTAAGGTATGACTGGAGGATGGTATGACTGGAGTAAGGTATGACTGAAGTAAGGTATGACTGAAGTAAGGTATGACTAGAGGATGGTATGACTGGAGGATGGTATGACTGGAGGATGGTATGACTGGAGGATGGTATGACTGAAGTAAGGTATGACTGAAGTAAGGTATGACTGGAGGATGGTATGACTGAAGTAAGGTATGACTGAAGTAAGGTATGACTGAAGTAAGGTATGACTGAAGTAAGGTATGACTGAAGTAAGGTATGACTGGAGGATGGTATGACTGAAGTAAGGTATGACTGAAGTAAGGTATGACTGAAGTATGGTATGACTGAAGTAAGGTATGACTGAAGTAAGGTATGACTGAAGTAAGGTATGACTGGAGTATGGTATGACTGAAGTAAGGTATGACTGAAGTAAGGTATGACTGAAGTAAGGTATGACTGAGCCTGTAATATTTGTACAGGTCAGCAGCAGCTGCAAGTCCACCGTGCCCAGCCCTGTCCAGCAAGTGAGTGTCGGACATGCCATGGCTAGTGTTGTTCCTGTCATGGCTGCCATCTCTACTAGTCTGGTCACTATGACACCCAGCCACAGGGTAGGAAAAACATTTTTTCATTGATGTAACATTTTTTCATTGCTTTAAGATTTAAAAAAAATAATATGTCTATTCCTATTTCTCTTCATGTGTCAGCATTTTTTTATCATTGTGTCAACACATCTTGTCAATGTGTCAACACATCTTGTCATTGTGTCAACACATGTTGTCAATGTGTCAAGACATTTTGTCATTGTATCAAGATATTTTGTCATTGTGTCAATACATTGTATCAGCACATTTTGTTTTTATGTCAGCATAATTTGTCATTGTGTCAACACATTGTATCAGCACATTTTGTTTTTATGTCAGCATAATTTGTCATTGTGTCAACACATTGTATCAGCACATTTTGTTTTTATGTCAGCATAATTTGTCATTGTGTCAACACATTTTATCAGCACATTTTGTTTTTATGTCAGCATAATTTGTCATTGTGTCAACACATTTTATCAGCACATTTTGTTTTTATGTCAGCATAATTTGTCATTGTGTCAACACATTTTATCAGCACATTTTGTTTTTATGTCAGCATAATTTGTCAATGTGTCAACACATTGTATCCGCACATTTTGTTTTTATGTCAGCATAATTTGTCATTGTCAACTCATTTGTCATGGGTGTAATATTTGCTTTTCAGCTACAGAGTTCAGCCCCGTCAAGTTGTCAGACATCAGCTGTTGTGTCATCTCCTCTCACCTCTGTGTCTCGTTCTGACCAATCAGTGAGTCCTATTTGTTCTGACCAATCAGTGAGTCCTATTTGTTCTGACCAATCAGTGAGTCCTATTTGTTCTGACCAATCAGTGAGTCCTTTTTGTTCTGACCAATCAGTGAGTCCTATTTGTTCTGACCAATCAGTGAGTCCTATTTGTTCTGACCAATCAGTGAGTCCTATTTGTTCTGACCAATCAGTGAGTCCTATTTGTTCTGACCAATCAGTGAGTCCTATTTGTTCTGACCAATCAGTGAGTCCTATTTGTTCTGACCAATCAGTGAGTCCTATTTGTTCTGACCAATCAGTGAGTCCTATTTGTTCTGACCAAATTATGTTTATATTCCCTGCTTAAGTCCCAAATATTCTTGTCAGTACCAGACAGGCCTGATCCTAACACCAGCTCAACAGCTGCTGCACGAGCAGTTGGTCCACAAGTCTGAGCAGCTCCAGAGTGCCATACAGAGGCAACAGGAGGAGCTCCGCCTCATCAAAGAACAGCTGGCATATGCCCAAAATACCAGCCAGATGACCACTCACAGGCAGCAAACACACCATCACCAACAGCAGCAACTGCAGCCACAACAGCAACAGTATATTCTACAGCAACAGCTTGGTAAGTCTGCATGAAAAACAGATGGTGTTTATGGAGTATTGGTTTGTGGCTTACATAGTGGACACCCACTTACTTGAAATGCACCGTTGCATTGTGTTTTTAAATCAGGGCTATCCCAACAGCCAATGCTATTGGCCCCTACAAGTACATCCAGTCAACTGGCTATGATGGGGACCAGTGCCAACCATATTTTCTTGTCACCTGTGAGAGGCATGGATACACACCACCAACAGGTGCAACAGTTTCAGCAACAGCAGCTGCTGCTACAGCAGGATGCAGGTAACTTACTGGTTTGCCTTTACTAAAGATAGATCACACTTTGTATTCCCATGTCAGCGTTATCTAAGTTTCCTCTTTTAACTTTTTCTGTTTCAGTAAAATAGTCTGGCTAAAAAAAATCTCTATTTTTTCTGTAAGAATAATCAGGGTTCCCACAGAGCCAGGAAATTGGGAAAAAATCTGGGAATTTTAAGATAAAATTTCCCGGAAAAGAATTTTCCGGCAGGGAAAACAGTTGAATAGTTGGGAAATCTTCATAATAGCCAGGAATTTTTTTTCATTCCCCAAATATGGTGAGATTTGGACTAGCCTATTTAGCCTTATGTAGTCTGTCCAGTTCTCAGCCTTATGTAGTCTGTCCAGTTCTCAGCCTTATGTAGTCTGTCCAGTTCTCAGCCTTATGTAGTCTGTCCAGTTCTCAGCCTTATGTAGTCTGTCCAGTTCTCAGCCTTATGTAGTCTGTCCAGTTCTCAGCCTTATGTAGTCTGTCCAGTTCTCAGCCTTATGTAGTCTGTCCAGTTCTCAGCCTTATGTAGTCTGTCCAGTTCTCAGCCTTATGTAGTCTGTCCAGTTCTCAGCCTTATGTAGTCTGTCCAGTTCTCAGCCTTATGTAGTCTGTCCAGTTCTCAGCCTTATGTAGTCTGTCCAGTTCTGGTTGTTTAGAGTCAAGCTGTACAAAACTAGTCTCACTGTATTATTGCCTTGCTAAAAAAAATTTTTTTTTTTTCAGTTAGAGTAACATTGTCTGTCCACTGTCACACTTTTCCCAAAATGTCGTATAAAATTGAAAAATGTATTTGAAGACTATTTTAAGTATGAAACAGAAATGTGCCAATGCATGCCTAGCTGTCGTTCAATTACTTAACACAACTTTACAAACATTAGCTACAGGAACCACCATAAGGTCCACGACAAAATCCAGAAAAACACTTGCCTGAATGCTGTTTGCCTGAAGGCCGTTTTCCCGAATGGACACTTACCCGAATGGACAATTGCGCAAATGGGACATGATTGGACACTTGAGCAAATGGACATTTGCACAAATGGACACTTGCAAAAATGGACACTTGCACAAATGGACACTTGCACAAATGGACACTTGCACAAATGGACACTTGCACAAATGGACACTTGCACAAATGGACACTTGCACAAATGGACACTTGCAAAAATGGACACTTGCACAAATGGACACTTGCACAAATGGACACTTGCACAAATGGACACTTGCACAAATGGACACTTGCACAAATGGACACTTGCACAAATGGACACTTGCACAAATGACACTTGCACAAATGGACACTTGCACAAATGGACACTTGCACAAATGACACTTGCACAAATGGACACTTGCACAAATGGACACTTGCACAAATGGACACTTGCACAAATGGACACTTGCACAAATGGACACTTGCACAAATGACACTTGCACAAATGGACACTTGCACAAATGGACACTTGCACAAATGGACACTTGCACAAATGACACTTGCACAAATGGACACTTGCACAAATGGACACTTGCACAAATGGACACTTGCACAAATGACACTTGCACAAATGGACACTTGCACAAATGGACACTTGCACAAATGGACACTTGCACAAATGGACACTTGCACAAATGGACACTTGCACAAATGGACATTTGCACAAATGGACACTTGCACAAATGGACACTTGCACAAATGGACACTTGCACAAATGACACTTGCACAAATGGACACTTGCCTGAATGGGAAAACGTCCGCCTCCTGTCACCATAACTCACACCTCACCCACTCCCACGGTTGCTCTGATGGTGAGGTCTTCAATAACACATGACCATACCATCACAGTTATGTTCAGCTTGTCTCAGTTCTTAGTACTGTTATTTAATTCTTTTATTTTGATGTTGTTTTTTCCCACGTTTTCTTTAACTTGCTTTCACGTCTGTTTGTTTGTTTGTTTGTCTTTCCATCAAATCTTGCGATCGAAATTTCGGGCACTTCCCAGTTAGCTATTGCGCTGAAATTTTCAGGGAAGCTTTGTTTCCGATTACAATACAATATTCAATTATTATTATTACTAAATTGATCCATGGAAAAATTTTATTGATCATTTTAGACTCCTATTGATTTGTACAAAAAAGGGACATAACCTAGTAATTGTAATTTGATAAAAACAAGGTTTGGTACTTTCCCTCTTCTGCGATTGAGACAGAACAAGAAAGGGTCTCTCATCTTGCTAAGCAGAAAGAACGAACTGATGCTGCACTTGCGATTGAGACAGAACAAGAAAGAGTCTCTCGTCTTGCTAAGCAGAAAGAATGAACTGATGCTGCACTTGCGATTGAGACAGAACAAGAAAGGGTCTCTCGTCTTGCTAAGCAGAAAGAAAGAACTGATGCTGCTCTTGCGATTGAGACCGAAGAAGAAAGGGTCTCTCGCCAAGCAAAAGACAGAAAGCATCATGCTACTGCTCGTCAAGACAAAGAAAGGCATGAAGCAGAATTGCAACGTTGACGCACTGCTTGCGCCCAACGTTCGGCAGCAATGAAAACATTTTTCGACACAATAAACACTTGTGATATTTGTCATAAGCAGTGCTATCCTAATCAGGTGACAAAATATCACATGCTTGCTTCTAAGGGATACCTTCCCCCTGAGCTTGCGCAAAAAACTGTGCTAGAAGTTTGTCACCGATGTAACTCGCACTTGCGCAACAATAAGAAGAACATGGCTCCGTCGAAAGCCTACTGGAATAACCTTGATACTGGTGAAGTTCCCGACGTAATTGTCAATTTGAGTGAGTCTGAATACAGACTTTTACATCGTATAAATCCATACATTAAAATTATCAAGTTTAATGGCCGCTTTGGCCAATATGGATTTACGGGTCAGGCTATTCTAATTGCGTGACTTTCCCATTTCTCGCCAGCGCATTTAAGTGAATGCGAGAAGATAAAATCGATAGCAAGATTTGAATGCAAACAAACAGACAAAGACTAAAAAGTAGAATACAATTTAAAAAAACCACGTTTTCTGATTGAACTAAAAAGTAGAAAATAAATGCTATATAAATGCAATATAAATGAAAAACGTGGGGCGCCGAAGTAAAAGTTTTTTATCGGTCATTGTTAATATAAGATGTAAAAGTTATATTACTATTGATTAGATAATACTATTGAGTTTTATTAGGGAGCTTGTAGAGAGTCAACAGTATTAGAAACTGTAAGAAAATCACGGCGCCCCACGTTTTTCATTTTTTGTCATAATGTGCACGCAGTTTGCGATCGCTTATAGTAGAGTGATCGCTTGCATTATTGTGATGTATAGCATTTATTTTCTACTTTTTAGTTCAATCAGAAAACGTGGGTTTTTAAACTTTTTTTAATGATAATTATTGAAATTTCTATAAGCTAGTCTACGGTTCGACATCTGTACAGAAATGTGAAATGGCTGTAGTCAGATAAATGTGGTGTAAGATAAGCTACGAACACTAAAGTCCTACTGCCACACACATTTGGCTACTTCTATTTACAGGGATGTGACTTCCCATTTTTAGGGGAAATCCGATTTTTCTTTTTCAGCTTCAATTTACCTCCACTGATTTCATTTTCTCCTAAATTTTTCCGCCGCATTTTAGATTTTTGACGATTTTTTTTTTAGGAAGTTTTAAAAATTCGAAAACAAACCACCAAAACAACAAAGAAACTGAAATGACTTATACACAAACAGCCCACGCGCGCATTCCACATATTCCTATGAAATTCAAATTTTACTTTAATTAGGTCAAACTGACCTAAACATTAAATTGCAATTAAACAAGACTTTGTATTATTTTAGAGTAACTTAAACCTGTTTGATTAAAAATATTAGCTATATTAAACAGATAATTAGTACACTAATGTTGTGAGTATGCTTTAACTGCGTTTAAAAATATAGAGAAAACTACATTGAGGTTTTTTTTTCTATAAAAAAGTCTAATATAATTATCATGGTCTGGTCACATAATAGTCACATTTACATTACTATAAAATCTCCATGAAGTATTGTCAACTATAAAAAGAATGAATAGGAAAAAGACGCCTTAAATTGATTCTGGCCTACCCCTTTTCTATTCCTCCCCTCCTGCTTAAAAAAAACTTATTTTTTTGGTTTTTTCGGGAGGGGGGGGGATGTGGAAGGGATTCCTTACATGTAGCATTGAACTTTGTTATATTGGCGAGATTGATTGAAGGATGATTTTGAAAAGCTATCTGATGGTTTCTTGCCCAGGTCAGTCGGTGCTCCTGTCCAGTCCACAACTGATGGCCTCTAGCAACAACCACATCTTTCTGTCCCCCATCAACATGGATCTACTGGGCACCCAGCAGCAGACGCCAGCCCTACATTTCCTGGGGGTTGCATGCACCACAGCAGAAACCAGCTCCAACAACCTTGACCTCTCAGATTCTTGCTGAACTTTCTAACTTTGGTGTCCCATTTGAACAGGTTATTCATTGTTCATATCTAATTTACACTTTTTGTAGAATGACAGAGCAATGTTTGACAAAAGAAATTGTGTGTGTGTAATCTTACATTGTGTGTGTGATCGTACATTGTGTTTGTGCGAGTGCTGCTGTTGAAATGATAAAAAATCTTTTGTCATCATTCACATGACCAGCTGGCACAGGTTTCAGTTACCTGGCTAATTGTATTTAAGCTCCTGTATCACTTTTTTACTGGTGATTTATACTTCCATACATGCATCCCATTCTTTTCTTGTTTTAAAAAAATTAGACTTTGTTTTGTGCAGAAAACTTTGCTTTGTTTGAGTTAGCACAGTGTCCAAAAAACTAAATTCTTTTTGTCCCCTAAAGTTCCCTTATTTTTTCTTGTACCGAAGCTCTACTGATGGGAGAAATGTTTTAAACTTTAATTTGAAATCTAGAATATAAAACTGTCAACCTCTAATTTTGAATCCTAGATTTTAAAACTGTCAACCTCTAATTTTGAATCCTAGATTTTAAAACTGTCAACCTCTAATTTTGAATCCTAGATTTTAAAACTGTCAACCTCTAATTTTGAATCCTAGATTTTAAAACTGTCAACCTCTAATTTTGAATCCTAGATTTTAAAACTGTCAACCTCTAATTTTGAATCCTAGATTTTAAAACTGTCAACCTCTAATTTTGAATCCTAGATTTTAACACTGTCAACCTCTAATTTTGAATCCTAGATTTTAAAACTGTCAACCTCTAATTTTGAATCCTAGATTTTAACACACTAATAAAGATATCCTCTAGATGCAAGACATAATTGTGTGTTGATGTGGATGGAGGACATTTTTTGTTTTTCACCTCAGTCTGCTGAAGACATTTTTTGCTCAAGTTGTAGGGTTGTTGAGCTGAAGGTTTCTGTAGCTGTATTCAAATGTTGTTGTCATTTTTTGGTGGTTTCCTCTTGTATACAGCCTGTTTAAAATTGATGTTTTATGACCTTGACCTCTAACCCTGTTGTGTATAAATTATTTTCAGACCACTGCTGTTTGTTGTAAATATTTTCCCAAGACTATAGACTTACATTTTGACTTGGATGCTTTGTAGAAGCCTTGATTTGATATCTTGTGGTTGCTTGTATTTGTTGTCGTCTTGTATTTGTTGGTGTCTTGTATTTGTTGATGTCTTGTATTTGATGGTGTCTTGTATTTGATGGTGTCTTGTATTTGTTGATGTCTTGTATTTGATGGTGTCTTGTATTTGTTGGTGTCTTGTATTTGATGATGTCTTGTATTTGATGGTGTCTTGTATTTGTTGGTGTCTTGTATTTGATGGTGTCTTGTATTTGTTGATGTCTTGTATTTGTTGGTGTCTTGTATTTGATGGTGTCTTGTATTTGATGGTGTCTTGTATTTGTTGGTGTCTTGTGATTATAGCTGTAATTCACTCTACAACTAACACTAGACCAGTTAACTTCTGTACATTCATCCAAAAACCTTCAAGTTAAGTATAATTTTTTTTAGCTGGAAGGGGTGAAGAGGCCTGCTTGTAAAAATACAATATAATTGTATACAAATTAATACACATTGTATTTTCAGGAATACAATATTTAAAAGACCAAACTTTTATAACTGCCTTTAAATTTAAACAAAATTGTAGGAAAGGTTTTTTTTTATTTGGCGTACATAAATGATATAAATGTTAGCTTGGATAGTTGTTACTGCTTTTCCACTAAGCAATTCTATTTTATACACCCCCCCCACACACACACACACATATATATATATATATATATATATATATATATATATATATATATATATAAAATATATCTGTGTTTTGCATATAAATTCCATCATAGGGAGCTCTATTTGTAGTTATGCATACTATTAATACTATCATGAAGTTTTTTTATGTCTGAAGAAAATTCATTTTTTATTGTTGATGATTTCCGATATTGGATTGTTTTTATTGATCGTTGTGATATTTTATTTTGGTGTTGTGATATTGGATGTTATTTTTATTGATGTGTTGTGATAAATACTTTTGTTTGGTGTTTGAACATTTTTGCTGTAGCAAGAGCTATCTGATGAGTGATGTGAATGGGCCAGTTCTCAACTGGCTGGGACCACACACACACACATTTCTTGTATACAAATGTGCAATAAAAAACTGGCAGCTAAGTGTTGCTGGTTAACTTAAAAATGAAAGTAAAAGCTAAGCTAGACTTGTATCATGTGCTGTAAATAAAAATACTCGTACAGGGTCTGTTTTCACTTAGCATGTGAGCTCCTATCATAACCTACCTTTGATTGCTGTTCATTTGTTTGACATTTTGATGTATGAGCTGCTTATTTGGATGGAGGAGAATGAAAACTTGTAGGTCCACTGGGCTGACAGAGGAATACTAGTGTAAAGCTGCTTTCATGCCCCCACCTCTTGTGCTCTGATGTGAAGATATGAAGAATAACTAGGTTTTGAACTAGGCTTGAACAGTGCACAGAAGTTTGTTTGTGTAGCTATTGTAAGGCTTGAACAGTGCACAGAGGTTTGTTTGTGTAGCTATTGTAAGGCTTGAACAGTGCACAGAGGTTTGTTTGTGTAGCTATTGTAAGGATTGAACAGTGCACAGAGGTTTGTTTGTGTAGCTATTGTAAGGATTGAACAGTGCACAGAGGTTTGTTTGTGTAGCTATTGTAAGGCTTGAACAGTGCACAGAGGTTTGTTTGTGTAGCTATTGTAAGGCTTGAACAGTGCACAGAGGTTTGTTTGTGTAGCTATTGTAAGGCTTGAACAGTGCACAGAGGTTTGTTTGTGTAGCTATTGTAAGGATTGAACATTCCACTTGTATTGTATCACTGTTGTACAAGATGGCTGTTCATGCATATTTGAATAAAGCCTAGGCCTTATCTCTAACACTGTCTTGCCTTGGTTCTACTTCTCTGACATGTGTGTGTGGAGCTCTGGTACATCAGGATGTGTACAGCACATCAAAGCTGTGTACATCAGGATGTGTACAGCACATCAAAGCTGTGTACATCAGGATGTGTTTTGAAATTTTACCAACACTTGAGAACATTAAAAAACTATTTTTGTAATGGTAAGAAAATAATGAGCAGTGAGGAGTCAAATAACAGCTAGCAAGAATACCTGCCCCAGCTTACAAGCCAAACATGTGCATTTCATCAGTGCTGTGGATATGCCTTATCTACAAGCTCAAATATTTGCCACTGGCCTGTAGTCAAGCTGCACATGATTACACAGCATGACCCACTCAGTACATGCCTATCTAATATATAAAGTTCAATTCAGTATGTTTTTAAAATGTTTGTCGTGGATTACAAAGGAATATAAGAAAACACGAAAAAAAACGATACTTCCATGAATTCAAGTGTTAGATTATTAAAGTGCTCATGGTCTGAATTTATGAGTTAAAAAATTTACGTTTTATTACTTTGTTTTGGTGTTAGGAAAAAATAATTACATAATTAGCGGGGATTCATTAAGTGTAATGTTATTGGTATTTTTGATACTGCCTTTTATTTATTCCATACACTAAACGTACTGTTTTTTTCTGATTATTTTTAATCAATAACAGTTAATAAGCCAGGTCCCTAAATGTTTTTTTTCCATTTACGGATAAGCTTGGAGTATTATAATAGTTCACTAAATTGAAACAGGCGCGTCCGCCGGCGCCCCAGCAGGGTTCGATTTGGCGCCCTGGGCCAACCTGTGAGCACTATGGTGCATAATTTCGCTTTAAACAGTGCGATAGACCAGTAGCGTAGCTAGGTCGGGTTTCACCCGGTGCAGCACTTAATGGTGTCATCGCCCAGAGGCGCAGCGACCCTTCCCGGGGACACATTTTCGATTTGCACCCCCCCCCCTCAAACCAAACTTTCGATTTCAATACCCCCCCTCCCTCAAGGTTTTCTCTCTATAGTTTGCTATTTTTTGCCTTTGTGTCACCCAGTGCGGTCCTAGCCTCCCGTGTTCGGTTTGGCGCCTGTGTTCGTTTAAGTGAGTGCAAAAGACTATGAATAAGTTGGGGTACTATAGTAATTTATTAAGCTAAACAGGCGATTCCACCGGCACCCCGGGCTAGACTGTGAGCACTTTGCATTTATGTTCGCATTAGTGTTTTCTTTGTGTTTAGGTTGCGTTTGAGTTTTGATTTGGTTCATTTTTGTTCTTTCTTTTTCGTTTGTGTTTTTTTCTTTGGGTTTGTATTTGTTTGTGGTTGGTTTTGTGTTTTTGTTTGTGTTATAGTTTGTATTTTTGTTTGCTTTTTTTGTGTTTTGGTTTGTTGTGGTTTGGGTGGGCAGTGCCGGGTATATGCTGATTAATAAACACACATGTCATGTTCCTTTACAGATAGGTTTCAGAAAGCTCTTTTATAGACACCTACACCAAACTACAAGAAGATATACAATTCTATATAATACTAGCCTTCCCGGTTTGTGTTGTGGTTCTGTTGTGTTAATGTTGTGTTTGTTTGTGTTATGTTCGCAGTTCTTTTTTTTTGGTGTGTTTTGGTTTTGGTTGGTTGTGGTTAGGGTGGGCAATGCCGGGTATATGCTGATTACAAAACACGTCATGGTCCTTTACAGATAGGTTTTTCACAGAGTCCAGAATCTTTGTATAGGTATAAAAATATCTTCCCTCAGTATACAAATCTGGTCTTAGTGTATAAAAAATCTGGACTAGTGTATTAAAAAATGTATTTTTAGACTTGAACTAATGGAGATTTTCTTCAACCTGAGTCTCATGAGACACCTCTACCTCAACAATTATACTTATAAATTCTCTAACTGGGAAGCAAAAAAAAAATTTAAAATGTTCATGAAACTATTTCTCTACTCTATTAAATCAATGTGAAAGTGAATGTAAACAGATAAAAGTGAAGTGGTCAAAACTCCGGCCAGCCTTACATTTCTGGCTGAACCATTCAATTTAAAACCATCTGTGTGGAAACAGTAATTAAAATTAGAGGATATTTTTTTTTAAATTATTAAAAAACAACGTTTTTGTCAATATACATTTTTACTCAGCTTCTGACTTTAAAGAGATCTAGACATGGCTCAAATAGTTAGCACAGGAAACTCTCTCCCCTGACAAGTAACCAAGATCTCTGCACCAGGATGCAGGAAAATATTTGTAAGATTTTTTCGCACTCCAATAGCAAATAATGATCTGATCTAAGCACAATTTTTTACAGCAACTTAACACTTTTTAAAAGTCTTGATTATACCTTGATTTACATCAGGCTGTAGGCAGTACAAGATGATACATTTTTAAAACATCACTTGAAAAATTGATTCATTAAAATATTTACAGTTTTCTACATTAATATCAATACACTCTTCTTAGTGAAAATGGATAGTAACAAATTAAGTTAAGATATTTGTTACTGCTAAAATTAAATGAGATAAATGTTACTGGTGTACCCTTGCAGTGTTACTTCATGCTGTGGGTTCTCCAAGTATATTTATATTATTTAGTCATGTCAATGAATGGTTTCAAACTGAGAAAATCTTTGTAAAACAAAGATTTGTAACCATGAAAAAATTCAGGAAGTTAACGCAGAAATTTAACTTTGACCCAGAGGTGAAATTCACAGAAAATGCTATTTTCACTTTCCTTGAATGAGATGAAATTCACAGCAAACTTTTTTTCATTTTTCCCGAATGATTCTCAGTTCATTGACCCCCAAACTTTTCTTTCTAATCATGAAGTTGAAGCGGTCCTGTAGACTGGGCTTGTTGTTGCACAGGGTGCCATGGTGGATGCTGCCGGACACTGTGTCTGTCTTGCTGCCAGTCACAGAGCTGAACACATTCTCCATGTTGAGCAGGGACCTCAGACCAAGGAAAGCAAAGATCAGCGCCTCTTTGTATTCCACCAGCTCATCATCTGTCTCCACAATCTGGCAACAAGGCAATGTTTCTTCATTTTGGAAAAATACATAAACTCACCTTTAAGTCATCATGTTACTGACCTTTAGTCATGTCACTGACCTTTAGTCATGTGACTGACGTCTATGTCATTTTGTCACTGACCTTTATGTTTGTCACTGACCTTTATGTTGTGCCTGCCAAGCTTCCCCTTTAGATCCAGCATGAGAGTTGTGTTAAAAGCCCCGCCCCCTGTGACCAACACGGAGCCCTGGGCTTTGTTGATGGCCTTGACACAACAGCTGGTCACATGGTCTGTGATGTGCTCAGTGTATGTTCGCAACAAGTCAGGGATGGCATATTTCTCTTTCTGTCTCATAAAATATTATTACAATAATAACTTTTTTGGTTGCCTTTAATATGAACAGTTTGTATGATAGTTTTCTAATAGCACTGTGAGAACGTGACCTACTTTAGATGTGAGAACATGACCTACTTTAGATGTGAGAATATGACCTACTTTAGATGTGAGAATATGACCTACTTTAGATGTGAGAATATGACCTACATTAAGCAGAGGAAAAACTTTGCTTGATGCCCACTCAAACCCCAGGGAGCGAGGTCCTGTCTGTTTATAATAGTCCAGCTGGTCAAGTTTCTCCAACAGTTCTGGGATGACTTGTCCAGTGGCTGCCAGCTGTCCACCATCATCGTAGCTCAGGTCTGGGTTGTGGCACTTGGCTAGGTGGTTCAGCACCATGTTACAGCAACAGATGTCAAAACCACTGTCACCCTGTGGAGTGTCAGAGGTTAGCTGGGGTGTCAGAGCTTAGCTGGGGTGTCATAGGTTAGCTGGGGTGTCAGAGTGACATAGGTTAGCTGGGGTGTCATAGGTTAGCTTGGGTGTTAGAGGTTAGCTGGGGTGTCAGAGGTTAGCTGGGGTGTCAGAGGTTAGCTGGGGTGTCAGAGTGTCAGAGGTTAGCTGGGGCGTCAGAGGTTAGCTGGGGTGTCAGAGGTTAGCTGGGGTGTCATAGGTTAGCTGGGGTGTCATAGGTTAGCTGAGGTGTCAGAGGTTAGCTGGGGTGTCATAGGTTAACTGGGGTGTCATAGGTTAGCTGGGGTGTCAGATGTTAGCTGGGGTGTCAGAGGTTAGCTGGGGTGTCAGAGTGTCATAGGTTAGCTGGGGTGTCAGAGGTTAGCTGGGGTGTCATAGGTTAGCTGGGGTGTTAGAGGTTTGCTGGGGTGTCAGAGGTTAGCTGGGGTGTCAGAGTGTCATAGGTTAGCTGGGGTGTCAGAGGTTTGCTGGGGTGTCAGAGGTTAGCTGGGGTGTCAGAGTGTCATAGGTTAGCTGGGGTGTCAGAGGTTAGCTTGGGTGTTAGAGGTTAGCTGGGGTGTCAGAGGTTAGCTGGGGTGTCAGAGTGTCATAGGTTAGCTGGGGTGTTAGAGGTTAGCTGGGGTGTTAGAGGTTAGCTGGGGTGTAAGAGGTTAGCTGGGGTGTCAGAGGTTAGCTGGGGTGTCAGAGGTTAGCTGGGGTGTCAGAGGTTAGCTGGGGTGTCAGAGGTTAGCTGGGGTGTCAGAGGTTAGCTGGGGTGTCAGAGGTTAGCTGGGGTGTCAGATGTTAGCTGGGGTGTCAGAGTGTCATAGGTAGCTGGGGTGTCATAGGTTAGCTTGGGTGTCAGAGGTTAGCTGGGGTGTCAAAGGTTAGCTGGGGTGTTAGAGGTTTGCTGGGGTGTCAGAGGTTAGCTGGGGTGTCAGAGGTTAGCTGGGGTGTCAAAGGTTAGCTGGGGTGTCAGAGTGTCATAGGTTAGCTGGGGTGTCAGAGGTTAGCTGGGGTGTCATAGGTTAGCTGGGGTGTCAGAGGTTAGCTGGGGTGTCAGAGGTTAGCTGGGGTGTCAGAGTGACATAGGTTAGCTGGGGTGTCAGAGGTTAGCTGGGGTGTCAGAGGTTAGCTGGGGTGTCAGATGTTAGCTGGGGTGTCAGAGGTTAGCTGGGGTGTCAGAGGTTAGCTGGGGTGTAATAGGTTAGCTGGGGTGTCAGAGTGACATAGGTTAGCTGGGGTGTCAGAGGTTAGCTGGGGTGTCAGAGGTTAGCTGGGGTGTCAGATGTTAGCTGGGGTGTCAGATGTTAGCTGGGGTGTCAAAGGTTAGCTGGGGTGTCAGATGTTAGCTGGGGTGTCAGAGGTTAGCTGGGGTGTAATAGGTTAGCTGGGGTGTTAGAGGTTTGCTGGGGTGTCAGAGGTTAGCTGGGGTGTCAGAGGTTAGCTGGGGTGTCAAAGGTTAGCTGGGGTGTCAGAGTGTCATAGGTTAGCTGGGGTGTCAGAGGTTAGCTGGGGTGTCATAGGTTAGCTGGGGTGTTAGAGGTTTGCTGGGGTGTCAGAGGTTAGCTGGGGTGTCTTAGGTTAGCTTGGGTGTTAGAGGTTAGCTGGGGTGTCAGAGGTTAGCTGGGGTGTCAGAGTGTCATAGGTTAGCTGGGGTGTCAGAGGTTAGCTGGGGTGTCAGAGGTTAGCTGGGGTGTCAGGGGTTAGCTGGGGTGTCAGAGGTTAGCTGGGGTGTCAAAGGTTAGCTGGGGTGTTAGAGGTTTGCTGGGGTGTCAGAGGTTAGCTGGGGTGTCAGAGGTTAGCTGGGGTGTCAAAGGTTAGCTGGGGTGTCAGAGGTTAGCTGGGGTGTCAGAGGTTAGCTGGGGTGTCTTAGGTTAGCTGGGGTGTTAGAGGTTAGCTGGGGTGTCAGAGGTTAGCTGGGGTGTCATAGGTTAGCTTGGGTGTAAGAGGTTAGCTGGGGTGTCAGAGGTTAGCTGGGGTGTCAAAGGTTAGCTGGGGTGTTAGAGGTTTGCTGGGGTATCAGAGTGTCATAGGTTAGCTGGGGTGTCATAGGTTAGCTGGGGTGTCAGATGTTAGCTGGGGTGTCAGAGTGTCATAGGTAGCTGGGGTGTCATAGGTTAGCTTGGGTGTTAGAGGTTAGCTGGGGTGTCAGAGGTTAGCTGGGGTGTTAGAGGTTTGCTGGGGTGTCAGAGGTTAGCTGGGGTGTCAGAGTGTCATAGGTTAGCTGGGGTGTCAGAGGTTAGCTGGGGTGTCAGAGGTTAGCTGGGGTGTCATAGGTTAGCTGGGGTGTCAGAGGTTAGCTGGGGTGTCATAGGTTAGCTGGGGTGTCAAAGGTTAGCTGGGGTGTCAAAGGTTAGCTGGGGTGTCAAAGGTTAGCTGGGGTGTTAGAGGTTTGCTGGGGTGTCAGAGGTTAGCCGGGGTGTCAGAGTGTCATAGGTTAGCTGGGGTGTCAGAGTGTCAGAGGTTAGCTGGGGTGTCAGAGTGTCAGAGGTTAGCTGGGGTGTCATAGGTTAGCTGGGGTGTCAGAGGTTAGCTGGGGTGTCAGAGGTTAGCTGGGGTGTCAGAGGTTAGCTGGGGTGTCAGAGGTTAGCTGGGGTGTCAGAGGTTAGCTGGGGTGTCATAGGTTAGCTGGGGTGTCAGAGGTTAGCTGGGGTGTCAGAGGTTAGCTGGGGTGTCAAAGGTTAGCTGGGGTGTCAGATGTTAGCTGGGGTGTCAGAGGTTAGCTGGGGTGTCAGAGGTTAGCTGGGGTGTCAGAGTGTCATAGGTTAGCTGGAGTGTCATAGGTTAGCTGGGGTGTCAGAGGTTAGCTGGGGTGTCAGAGGTTAGCTGGGGTGTCAGAGGTTAGCTGGGGTGTCAAAGGTTAGCTGGGGTGTCAGATGTTAGCTGGGGTGTCAAAGGTTAGCTGGGGTGTCAGATGTTAGCTGGGGTGTCAGAGGTTAGCTGGAGTGTCATAGGTTAGCTGGGGTGTCAGAGGTTAGCTGGGGTGTCAGAGGTTAGCTGGGGTGTCAGAGGTTAGCCTGGGGTGTCAGAGGTTAGCTGGGGTGTCAGAGGTTAGCTGGGGTGTCAGAGGTTAGCTGGGGTGTCAGAGGTTAGCTGGGGTGTCAGAGGTTAGCTGGGGTGTCAGAGGTTAGCTGGGGTGTCATAGGTTAACTGGGGTGTCATAGGTTAGCTGGGGTGTCAGAGGTTAGCTGGGGTGTCAGAGGTTAGCTGGGGTGTCAAAGGTTAGCTGGGGTGTCAGATGTTAGCTGGGGTGTCAGAGGTTAGCTGGGGTGTCAGAGGTTAGCTGGGGTGTCAGAGTGTCATAGGTTAGCTGGAGTGTCATAGGTTAGCTGGGGTGTCAGAGGTTAGCTGGGGTGTCAGAGGTTAGCTGGGGTGTCAGAGGTTAGCTGGGGTGTCAAAGGTTAGCTGGGGTGTCAGATGTTAGCTGGGGTGTCAAAGGTTAGCTGGGGTGTCAGATGTTAGCTGGGGTGTCAGAGGTTAGCTGGAGTGTCATAGGTTAGCTGGGGTGTCAGAGGTTAGCTGGGGTGTCAGAGGTTAGCTGGGGTGTCAGAGGTTAGCCTGGGGTGTCAGAGGTTAGCTGGGGTGTCAGAGGTTAGCTGGGGTGTCAGAGGTTAGCTGGGGTGTCAGAGGTTAGCTGGGGTGTCAGAGGTTAGCTGGGGTGTCAGAGGTTAGCTGGGGTGTCATAGGTTAACTGGGGTGTCATAGGTTAGCTGGGGTGTCAGAGGTTAGCTGGGGTGTCAGAGGTTAGCTGGGGTGTCAGAGGTTAGCTGGGGTGTCAGAGTGTCAGAGGTTAGCTGGGGTGTCATAGGTTAGCTGGGGTGTCAGAGGTTAGCTGGGGTGTCAGAGGTTAGCTGGGGTGTCAGAGGTTAGCTGGGGTGTCAGAGGTTAGCTGGGGTGTCAGAGTGTCATAGGTTAGCTGGGGTGTCAGAGGTTAGCTGGGGTGTCAGAGGTTAGCTGGGGTGTCAGAGGTTAGCTGGAGTGTCAGAGGTTAGCTGGGGTGTCAGAGGTTAGCTGGGGTGTCAGAGGTTAGCTGGGGTGTCAGAGGTTAGCTGGGGTGTCAGAGGTTAGCTGGGGTATCAGAGTGTCATAGGTTAGCTGGGGTGTCAGAGGTTAGCTGGAGTGTCAGAGGTTAGCTGGGGTGTCAGAGGTTAGCTGGGGTGTCAGAGTGTCATAGGTTAGCTGGGGTGTCAGAGGTTAGCTGGGGTGTCAGAGGTTAGCTGGGGTGTCAGAGGTTAGCTGGGGTGTAATAGGTTAGCTGGGGTGTCAGAGGTTAGCTGGGGTGTCAGAGGTTAGCTGGGGTGTCAGAGGTTAGCTGGGGTGTCATAGGTTAGCTGGGGTGTCAGAGGTTAGCTGGGGTGTCAGAGGTTAGCTGGGGTGTAATAGGTTAGCTGGGGTGTCAGAGGTTAGCTGGGGTGTCAGAGGTTAGCTGGGGTGTCAGAGGTTAGCTGGGGTGTCATAGGTTAGCTGGGGTGTCAGAGGTTAGCTGGAGTGTCAGAGGTTAGCTGGGGTGTCAGAGGTTAGCTGGGGTGTCAGAGGTTAGCTGGGGTGTCAGAGTGTCAGAGGTTAGCTGGGGTGTCAGAGTGTCAGAGGTTAGCTGGGGTGTCAGAGGTTAGCTGGGGTGTCAGAGGTTAGCTGGGGTGTCAGAGGTTAGCTGGGGTGTCAGAGTGTCATAGGTTAGCTGGGGTGTCAGAGGTTAGCTGGGGTGTCAGAGGTTAGCTGGGGTGTAAGAGGTTAGCTGGGGTGTCAAAGGTTAGCTGGGGTGTCATAGGTTAGCTGGGGTGTCAGAGGATAGCTGGGGTGTCATAGGTTAGCTGGGGTGTCAGAGGTTAGCTGGGGTGTCAGAGGTTAGCTGGGGTGTCAGAGGTTAGCTGGGGTGTCAGAGGTTAGCTGGGGTGTCAGAGTGTCATAGGTTAGCTGGGGTGTCAGAGTGTCATAGGTTAGCTGGGGTGTCAGAGGTTAGCTGGGGTGTCAGAGGTTAGCTGGAGTGTCAGAGGTTAGCTGGGGTGTCAGAGTGTCAGAGGTTAGCTGGGGTGTCAGAGGTTAGCTGGGGTGTCAGAGGTTAGCTGGAGTGTCAGAGGTTAGCTGGGGTGTCAGAGTGTCATAGGTAGCTGGGGTGTCAGAGGTTAGCTGGGGTGTTAGAGTGTCATAGGTAGCTGGGGTGTCAGAGGTTAGCTGGGGTGTCATAGGTTAGCCTGGGTGTCATAGGTTAGCTGGGGTGTCAGAGGTTAGCTGGGGTGTCAGAGGTTAGCTGGAGTGTCAGAGGTTAGCTGGGGTGTCAGAGGTTAGCTGGGGTGTCAAAGGTTAGCTGGGGTGTCATAGGTTAGCTGGGGTGTCAGAGTGTCAGAGGTTAGCTGGGGTGTCATAGGTTAGCTGGGGTGTCATAGGTTAGCTGGGGTGTCAGAGTGTCAGAGGTTAGCTGGGGTGTCAGAGTGTCATAGGTTAGCTGGGGTGTCATAGGTTAGCTGGGGTGTCAGAGTGTCATAGGTTAGCTGGGGTGTCATGGGTTAGCTGGGGTGTCAGAGGTTAGCTGGGGTGTCAGGGGTTAGCTGGGGTGTCAGAGTGTCAGAGGTTAGCTGGGGTGTCAGAGGTTAGCCTGGGTGTCATAGGTTAGCTGGGGTGTTAGAGGTTAGCTGGGGTGTCAGAGGTTAGCTGGGGTGTCATAGGTTAGCTGGGGTGTCAGAGGTTAGCTGGGGTGTCAGAGGTTAGCTGGGGTGTCAGAGTGTCAGAGGTTAGCTGGGGTGTCAGAGGTTAGCCTGGGTGTCATAGGTTAGCTGGGGTGTTAGAGGTTAGCTGGGGTGTCAGAGGTTAGCTGGGGTGTCATAGGTTAGCTGGGGTGTCAGAGGTTAGCTGGGGTGTCAGAGGTTAGCTGGGGTGTCAGAGGTTAGCTGGGGTGTCAGAGTGTCATAGGTTAGCTGGGGTGTCATAGGTTAGCTGGGGTGTCATAGGTTAGCTGGGGTGTCAGAGTGTCAGAGGTTAGCTGGGGTGTCAGAGTGTCATAGGTTAGCTGGGGTGTCATAGGTTAGCTGGGGTGTTAGAGGTTAGCTGGGGTGTCAGAGGTTAGCTGGGGTGTCATAGGTTAGCTGGGGTGTCATAGGTTAGCTGGGGTGTCAGAGGTTAGCTGGGGTGTCAGAGTGTCATAGGTTAGCTGGGGTGTCATAGGTTAGCTGGGGTGTCATAGGTTAGCTGGGGTGTCAGAGTGTCAGAGGTTAGCTGGGGTGTCAGAGTGTCATAGGTTAGCTGGGGTGTCATAGGTTAGCTGGGGTGTCAGAGTGTCATAGGTTAGCTGGGGTGTCATGGGTTAGCTGGGGTGTCAGAGGTTAGCTGGGGTGTCAGGGGTTAGCTGGGGTGTCAGAGTGTCAGAGGTTAGCTGGGGTGTCAGAGGTTAGCCTGGGTGTCATAGGTTAGCTGGGGTGTTAGAGGTTAGCTGGGGTGTCAGAGGTTAGCTGGGGTGTCATAGGTTAGCTGGGGTGTCAGAGGTTAGCTGGGGTGTCAGAGTGTCAGAGGTTAGCTGGGGTGTCAGAGGTTAGCCTGGGTGTCATAGGTTAGCTGGGGTGTTAGAGGTTAGCTGGGGTGTCAGAGGTTAGCTGGGGTGTCAGAGGTTAGCTGGGGTGTCAGAGTGTCATAGGTTAGCTGGGGTGTCATAGGTTAGCTGGGGTGTCAGAGTGTCAGAGGTTAGCTGGGGTGTCAGAGGTTAGCTGGGGTGTCATAGGTTAGCTGGGGTGTCAGAGTGTCAGAGGTTAGCTGGGGTGTCAGAGTGTCAGAGGTTAGCTGGGGTGTCAGAGGTTAGCCTGGGTGTCATAGGTTAGCTGGGGTGTTAGAGGTTAGCTGGGGTGTCAGAGGTTAGCTGGGGTGTCAGAGGTTAGCTGGGGTGTCAAAGTGTCAGAGGTTAGCTGGGGTGTCAGAGTGTCAGAGGTTAGCTGGGGTGTCAGAGGTTAGCTGGGGTGTCAGAGGTTAGCTGGGGTGTCAGAGTGTCAGAGGTTAGCTGGGGTGTCAGAGGTTAGCTGGGGTGTCAGAGGTTAGCTGGGGTGTCAGAGTGTCAGAGGTTAGCTGGGGTGTCAGAGGTTAGCTGGGGTGTCAGAGGTTAGCTGGGGTGTCAAAGGTTAGCTGGGGTGTCAGAGGTTAGCTGGGGTGTCAAAGGTTAGCTGGGGTGTCAGAGGTTAGCTGGGGTGTCAGAGGTTAGCTGGGGTGTCAAAGGTTAGCTGGGGTGTCAGAGGTTAGCTGGGGTGTCAGAGGTTAGCCTGGGTGTCATAGGTTAGCTGGGGTGTCAGAGGTTAGCTGGGGTGTCAGAGGTTAGCTGGGGTGTCAGAGGTTAGCTGGGGTGTCAGAGGTTAGCTGGGGTGTCAGAGGTTAGCTGGGGTGTCATAGGTTAGCTGGGGTGTTAGAGGTTAGCTGGGGTGTCAGAGGTTAGCTGGGGTGTCAGAGGTTAGCTGGGGTGTCAGAGGTTAGCTGGGGTGTCAGAGGTTAGCTGGGGTGTCAGAGGTTAGCTGGGGTGTCAGAGGTTAGCTGGGGTGTCAGAGGTTAGCTGGGGTGTCAAAGGTTAGCTGGGGTGTCAGAGGTTAGCTGGGGTGTCAGAGGTTAGCTGGGGTGTCAGAGGTTAGCTGGGGTGTCATAGGTTAGCTGGGGTGTTAGAGGTTAGCTGGGGTGTCAGAGGTTAGCTGGGGTGTCAGAGGTTAGCTGGGGTGTCAGAGGTTAGCTGGGGTGTCATAGGTTAGCTGGGGTGTTAGAGGTTAGCTGGGGTGTCAGAGGTTAGCTGGGGTGTCAGAGGTTAGCTGGGGTGTCAGAGGTTAGCTGGGGTGTCAGAGGTTAGCTGGGGTGTCAGAGGTTAGCTGGGGTGTCAAAGGTTAGCTGGGGTGTCAGAGGTTAGCTGGGGTGTCAGAGGTTAGCTGGGGTGTCAGAGGTTAGCTGGGGTGTCAGAGGTTAGCTGGGGTGTCAGAGTGTCAGAGGTTAGCTGGGGTGTCAGAGGTTAGCTGGGGTGTCAGAGGTTAGCTGGGGTGTCAAAGGTTAGCTGGGGTGTCAGAGGTTAGCTGGGGTGTCAAAGGTTAGCTGGGGTGTCAGAGGTTAGCTGGGGTGTCAGAGGTTAGCTGGGGTGTCAAAGGTTAGCTGGGGTGTCAGAGGTTAGCTGGGGTGTCAGAGGTTAGCTGGGGTGTCAGAGGTTAGCTGGGGTGTCAGAGTGTCATAGGTTAGCTGGGGTGTCAGAGGTTAGCTGGGGTGTCAGAGGTTAGCTGGGGTGTCAGAGGTTAGCTGGGGTGTCAGAGGTTAGCTGGGGTGTCAGAGGTTAGCTGGGGTGTCAAAGGTTAGCTGGGGTGTTAGAGGTTAGCTGGGGTGTCAGAGGTTAGCTGGGGTGTCAGAGGTTAGCTGGGGTGTCAAAGGTTAGCTGGGGTGTCAGAGTGTCATAGGTTAGCTGGGGTGTCAGAGGTTAGCTGGGGTGTCAGAGGTTAGCTGGGGTGTCAGAGGTTAGCTGTGGTGTCAGAGGTTAGCTGGGGTGTCATAGGTTAGCTGGGGTGTCAGAGTGTCATAGGTTAGCTGGGGTGTCATAGGTTAGCTGGGGTGTCAGAGGTTAGCTGGGGTGTCAGAGGTTAGCTGGGGTGTCATAGGTTAGCTGGGGTGTCAGAGGTTAGCTGGGGTGTCATAGGTTAGCTGTAGATCAACTGACCTGCATGAGATTATCTATAGCAACAGTCAACACATACCTTACCTTACAGCCAGCATTAGCTATCCCCCCTAGATTAATGCACAGGTCAGTTTGTTGAAACAAATATTTTTCTCCACACGGCACCAGTGGCGCCCCTTGACCTCCGAGAGAAACATCTTTGGACCGAAAGTTACAAACAAATGGACATCTGTAAGTTGATATAAAGGACAGTAAGAACCTGATATAAGTTGATATAAAGGACAGTAAGAACCTGATATAAGTTGATATAAAGGACAGTAAGAACCTGATATAAGTTGATATAAAGGACAGTAAGAACCTGATATAAGTTAATATAAAGGACAGTAAGAACCTGATATAAGTTGATATAAAGGACAGTAAGAACCTGATATAAGTTGATATAAAGGACAGTAAGAACCTGATATAAGTTGATATAAAGGACAGTAAGAACCTGATATAAGTTAATATAAAGGACAGTAAGAACCTGATATAAGTTGATATAAAGGACAGTAAGAACCTGATATAAGTTGATATAAAGGACAGTAAGAACCTGATGTACGTATTGTAAGTTGATATAAAGGACAGTAAGAACCTGATATAAGTTGATATAAAGGACAGTAAGAACCTGATATAAGTTGATATAAAGGACAGTAAGAACCTGATATAAGTTGATATAAAGGACAGTAAGAACCTGATATAAGTTGATATAAAGGACAGTAAGAACCTGATATAAGTTGATATAAAGGACAGTAAGAACCTGATATAAGTTGATATAATTTCTCCATCTCCTATCTGAAAGGTCAGCCCCTTGTCTGGTTGATGAAACACTGTGTGGCCGTGGGAGGAGACGAAGTCTGGGTGTAAGTTGTTTTTCTCGATAAACTTCTCTACACATTGCCCCACAAAGTGGCTGTAGTCTATCTGAAGTTTGACCAGATCCTGTGGGAGATATCATTTTATGTTGTAGTCTATCTGAAGTTTGACCAGATCATGTGGCAGATATAATTTTATGTTGGATGATTGTGTCAGTCATCTTGAGCTGACCTACTATAAAACCATCTGGCCATCCTATACATACTGATGTCTTGCTTTTGTCTCCAACAACTATTTTTAGAATAAACAATTTGTGTTCAATAAAGGCTTCACTCAATAAGTAAATGATTATTTCTTAAAACACTCCTCATTTCACACATGACAAGGCTGAACTAGGCAACACAGAGAAAGAAATGTTAATTTAAATAATGAACAAATGAGACACAAATTAGATGATATATCTTTTGGTGACAACACATCTGATTTAAATGTGCATTAACATTTCTTCATTTAATGTTAACAACATTTTTCATGCAATATTTCAACAAAAATACTTCGTACATTTCTTAATAATAACTTTTGAGATTGTTTTCATTCCAAGTTTTGTGGAAAACCTCTAAGTACCCTGTCTGGTTACATCCCACCCTCAACACCCCGCCTAGGTCCCCCCCCCAACCCTCAGCACCCCGCCAAGTCACACCCCCACCCTCAGCACACCGCCTAGGTCCCCCCAACCCTCAGCACCCCGCCAAGATACACCCCCACCCTCAACACCCCGCCTAGGTCCCCCCCCCAACCCTCAGCACCCCGCCAAGTCACACCCCCACCCTCAGCACACCGCCTAGGTCCCCCCCAACCCTCAGCACCCCGCCTAGATCCCCCCCCCCCACCCTCAACACCCCGCCTAGGTCCCCCCCCCCCAACCCTCAGCACCCCGCCTAGATACACCCCCACCCTCAGCACCCCGCCAAGATACACCCCCACCCTCAACACCCCGCCTAGGTCCCCCCCCAACCCTCAGCACCCCGCCAAGTCACACCCCCACCCTCAACACCCCGCCTAGGTCCCCCCCCCCAACCCTCAGCACCCCGCCAAGTCACACCCCCACCCTCAGCACACCGCCTAGGTCCCCCCCAACCCTCAGCACCCCGCCTAGATCCCCCCACCGCCTGGCTACGCCACTCAACAAGAGAACTCACAATGCCCGCCATAGTTGTGGCCTTCCCTAGCCTCTCCTGCATGTTGCTGCTGTAGCTGACGGTCACAGCCTGCTCGATGCGGTAGCCCCAGATATCCGTCTCTGGGTCGCCTGTAAACTCAGCAAAACACAGGTCAAGGCCATCTAGAGAAGTCCCAGACATAATGCCGATACCGTAGTATGACGTCATCCTTGGTTAAGTTTTTTAAATCTTTAATTCTCTCTGTAGGGTTTGCAACAAATTTTTAAAAAATGAAACATGAGAAGATCTGCAAGTTTTTTTATTTAAAATGTCATAATATTATTCTTGATGAGACAACTGAGGCGCTAGAGCCACGAGAATATCAGAGGGGACGCGTGAGTAGAACCAGCATTATTGCATGCCTGGCAACAAACGGAAATATCAAATACAAAACCACAATGGCGTCAACTGAAATCTTCGAGTATTGTGTCACCTGGCTCCATTAAAATAAACGGCTAGAATTCTTGTTCTCCTACCCTTTCCCTTCCCACCCCAAGGCCACGGGTTCAGCAAACTCAAGCAGACGTGTCAACAAGTTCCTCTCAGCTTGACCGCCTTACGGACAAAAACAAAGCTGTAGAATCTATTCTAAGCTTGTAGACCAGTTCACGTCTGTCTCTACAGGTCAGTCATCAAACGTCACCTGTCCTTATCTGGGTCAAAGTAGATTCAATGGTGGGCTCGTGATGAAGTCACGTGGCCTTGATGTCCGACAGGAAACATCACCTTACTATATCTATCATAAAGGTTCGCGCCTCTCCCACCCCTTCACAATATTTTGTGAATCTGTTGTCAATTTCTACAAGGCTGTCACAAAGTAATGGAAACAATTTTTATTTTAAATATGAGGGAATATGCAGCAAAAAAAAAAAAAGACCCTGACTAGTCAGAAATCTGGAAGAGAATAGCCCGGGCCATCATTACACTCTTGTCACTCTCGCCGACAAAACATGATTCCCCCCCCCCCCTCCCCCTATATTCGTCAATACTTGTGGTAGTAGTTTACGAACATTCAAGCAGAACATTGAATATTCAAGCCGTCAAAACACCACAGACATGTCCATTTTTACGTAATGACGTAATATAAAGTGTTTGGGACTAGGTCCAACTCGCTTGTTGACGGCTGCTGATAGTTACTGCGTGTTGTTAGCTAATGAAAACAAAACACGCTAAGTAGGTCACGTTAGCCCAACTCGTTTATAAATAGACTCCCATTTTGAACACGTGATCTTATTTGTTTACTAACGCAATCATTCTTATTTTAGACCAAAGCGGTAACTGCAATTTCCATTTGGCAATGTAATAGATTGAGATAATTGTATTGGTATTATATTTATATTGTTATCTTGAGTGATGTCCCTTACTTGTGCCTCTCGTCACTTCCGTCTTGCCGGTTAACAATAAAAGCTGTTTACATGTTAAGGGCTTCTGTCTCCGTTGTGTAATTCTTAATCTATCTCATTGGCGACGAAGGATAAACATCTACTAGAAAGAGCACCTACTTACGCAAAAAAGAGGTTTGCTAGAGCTTATTAGCTAATTATTTCTAGAATTATGGCGCTGTATGGCCAAATGAAAGAATTTGATGCGAATGATGAAATCATTCAAGATTACCTAGAGAGGTTAAGCTTTTACCTAGAAGCTAACGACGTGACGATAGAAGCCAAAAAGAGAGCTATTTTGTTAACAGTCATAGGGCCTCAACAATTTAGGCTACTAAAGGACTTATGCGCACCGGCTAGTCCAGATACCAAGAGCTTTAACGAGCTGAGCAAATTGCTAACAGACCACCATGCGCCTGTACCATCAAAGTTTCTATGTCGAGCTAGATTTGACAGTAGGACTCGTCAACCAAACGAGTCAATATCAGAATATGTTGCTGCTTTACGTCATTTAAGTAGATTTTGTGAATTTGGAGAAACGCTGTCTGACAGACTATGTGAAAAGTTTGTGACAGGTGTAAACAGCCCTGATATTCAAAGAAAGTTGCTGCTCGAGTCAGATCTAACATTGGAAAAAGCAATACAACTCGCAACTTTATTCCAGCAGTCATCAGAGGCGGCGAGATCTTTAGCACCTTCAGAGATCCATGCAGTAAACAGCAGGTTAGTCAATAAACATCAACCCCAGCAGAGCATTCCAACTTATGCTAAACAGCCTGCTCGTTCAAATCCTAGATCTAAATCTAGTAATAATTATCAAAAATGTCATCGATGCAAAGGTCCCCATGCATCTCATCGGTGCAAGTTCAAGTCTGCAACTTGTTATAAGTGCAGTAAGCAAGGTCACATTGCTAAGGCCTGCTTTGCAAAGTCTTCGTCTGTTGCTAAATCTAGCCAGTCAAGACAGTACCGCAACCAAAGGCAGCACTATGTTAACTCTCACCAAGACTACCTAACTCAACCAATGAACCACTCTACCTGTGAAAATGCTCAAACTGATTCGCAGCCGGATTTCAACCTATTCTCTGTGAAATCAATAAGTCATGCTCCCATCAATGTACAAGTTAATATCAACGGTAAGAGCATCAGCTTCCAACTTGACACTGGAGCATCTCTAACAGTCATAACAAAGAAGGACTTTGACGCTGTCACAGGAGGATCAGTGCCTCTACAGCCATGTCACAAGTGTCTAACAACATACACTGGTGACAATGTTCCGGTAATAGGAGAGTGTATGGTTCATGTAAGTTATAATGGTCAAAGTGTTAAACTTCCTCTTCTTGTGGTTGAAGGAAATGGACCGCCATTACTAGGTAGGAACTGGTTAAGTGATCTTAAGTTAAATTGGGAGAGTATTTGTTCATTGAAGAATGTAAAAGAATCTAGTCTTACTTCACTAGATAGAGTTATATCTGAAAATAAATGTGTTTTTGGTAACTCTGGATTACTAAATGATAGAACAGTGAAGTTAAGCATTAAAGACACAAATCCAAGATACTGCAAAGCTAGAGTTCCACCTTATGCAATGAGGAATAAAATTGAAAATGAGCTAAGTAGATTGGAATCTAATGGCATTATAAAGAAGGTAGACTATTCCGATTGGGCGACACCCATTGTGCCAGTGTTAAAGAAGGATGGTTCTATAAGAATTTGTGGAGATTATAAAACTACACTGAATAAGCAAATAGAGCTAAATAGGTACCCTATTCCTAACATTGAGGAAATTTCTTTGAATTTGGCAGGAGGAGACAAATTCACTGAATTAGACTTTAGTCATGCTTACACTCAACTAGAACTGCATCCAGATTCAAAAGTCTATACGACAATAAACACACATAAAGGACTCTACCAATATGAAAGACTATGTTTTGGCATATCATCTAGCCCTGGAATTTTCCAAGCTGTCATGGACAGTATTTTTAAGGACATTCCAAATGTTTGTGTGTACTTTGACAATGTGTACATAACTGGTAAGAATGACACTGAACATCTTAAAACACTAGATAAAGTATTGAAAATTGTTGGTGAAAAAGGTTTAAAGATAAACAAAGATAAATGTCAATTCATGCTGACAGAAATTAGTTTTCTTGGTTATATATTGAGCAAACAAGGCATCAGACCTCAACCTGAGAAAACAAAAGCCATTAAAGAAGCACCCAAACCTGAAAATACCCAACAACTAAGAGCTTTTTTGGGCTTAATAAATTACTATGCAAAGTTCATAGGAAATCTGTCTGGTAAACTATCACCACTGTACAAGCTGCTACAGAAAAATGCAACTTGGCACTGGGGTAAACAACAAGAAGCTGCTTTTAATACAGCAAAAGAGGCTTTGTCTGCTGACACCTTACTAACTAACTATGACCCAGGGAAAAGACTTATATTAACATGTGATGCTTCACCAGATGGTGTAGGAGCAGTCTTGTCCCACATGGATGAGAAGGGTGACAGACCCATTGCTTTTGCCAGTAGATCTTTGAACCAGGCTGAGAAAAATTATTCTCAGTTAGATAGGGAAGGCTTAGGCATCATTTTTGGTGTTAAGAAATTTCATAAGTTTCTGTTTGGTAGGAAGTTCACCATCTTTACAGATCATAAACCATTGCTAGGTTTATTTGGAGAAAACAAAACCCTACCTGAGCATGCCTCTCCAAGAAGTCAAAGATGGGCTATCACACTAACTGCATACAATTATGAATTGAAATGCAAACCTGGATCTGAGAATAGTGCAGATAGTCTTAGTAGATTACCTTTAAAAAACCAAAGCCTGAGCTATGTACCAGAAGATGTATTTGTTCTCTTCACTATCATGGATAACTCCAATATAACTGTGAATGATGTTAATGTGAATGATGTTAATGTGAATGATGTTAAAAGAGAAACACAAAAGATGAGTGCTTAATAAAAGTGTATGAGTACTGTAAGAATGGTTGGCCTGAAGAGTCTGTGAATGATGACTTAAGGCCATATAAAATAAGAAATTAAAACCCTTTGTGAAGATAATATAAATGATGGAGAAGATGCAGTCCATTATCAGTCAGAGTTGCCTAAACAAAGTATTTGTAACTTAATAAATGATTATGGTGATATGGCAATTTCAAATGTTTTAAAGGGAATACATTAGTAAGAAGGAATGTGATCATCAAACAACTTTGCTAACATCATTAGCACTTACAGAAACTAAAAGGGTAACATCAAACAGAAGAAGCTAAATGTGACAATGAAAGAGTAAACAGGTTATTAGCCAAATACCGCACAACTCCTCATATAACAACAGATGTTGCACCATGTGAATTGCTATGTGGTAGGAAAATTAAAACTCATCTTGACCTACTACATCCAACTGTTCAAAGGTCTGTTTCCCAACATCAACATACACAAAAAGTAAATCATGACAAATCATCCATTGAAAGAGAATTTGCAGTTAATGATAATGTGTATCTAAGAAATTATGGGAGAAAGGAAAAATGGATACCAGGTCAAATTGTTCAATGTACAGGACCTGTGTCTTATAAAGTTAAAAATAACTTGTGCAGATAATAAGTGTGAATCTGTCAATCCCACCAAGTCTGATCAGTTCACACCAACTCAGTTTGTTCCACAACCAAGTTCTGTTGATATGAGTGAACCAAGTTGTCTGGAGTCAGAAAATGTAAATTCTGGAGTTAATGATTTAAATCCTAGACCTCCTGAGATAGAGAATCCAGATGGTCAGAATCTTGAGTCACCAAATCAAAAGCCACTGAGAAGGTCAAACAGGACAATCAAAGTCCCAAATAAGTTAGACCTATGATTTTAAAGGTCAAAAGGACTTTGACATCATTGTTTTGTATCTTGATTATGTTGTGGCATATTGTGCATTGTTTGTAAGGATGTAATCTACCATAGTGTTCATGTTACAATATAATTGGTGATTTTAGGATACTATCAATTGTTCTATTGAGAGATGTGTTATTGTGTTCTAAGGGTAAAGGGATGTAATAGATTGAGATAATTGTATTGGTATTATATTTATATTGTTATCTTGAGTGATGTCCCTTACTTGTGCCTCTCGTCACTTCCGTCTGCCGGTTAACAAATAAAGCTGTTTACATGTTAAGGGCTTCTGTCTCCGTTGTGTACTTCTTAATCTATCTCAGGCAAGACTTGCATGATTGTCAGACGTTGACTCCTAGAATTAAACTAGTTTAGGCCACTGGTGGTAATACATAAATAATAAAAGCTACACATTAAAACACCGAAGTAAAGAAAATGAAAGAATTAAAATATTTCATCAATTCACAATTTTTAACATCTCGTAGCTGGACTAATTCATTGACTTGTAAAAGCAATCTATCTAAAAAAAAAAAGGCATAGAGTGTTTAGCACTGTTTACAACTATAATAATTTACAAAGTTAGATTTAAATGTTTACTTTACACTACGCCCTATCTGACAGTATCTGTACTTATCCAAGTGTACTAAATTGCCAGATTGTACATAGATCTAGGATTCAACTAAAAATTCATTTAAATAAAAAGGCTTACCCTTACCAAAAAACATTAAAGAATTTTAAAATACAAATATGCAAATAAAATCTACAAAGAGTTCACATTGCTGTCGCTGTCTGTGCACAAGATAACAAAACGTGAAATATATCGATCGGGGTATATTTTTAGTTTTTACACTGGTTGCCAGATAAAAATCTGTGGAACCAGATAGATAAATGAACCAAACACAACGGCAGATTCAAGTTGTACCACTGTCAGAAGCCAGCACAGAAGCGGAAACGGATAACAATTCAGTAAAAGTAAAAAAAAAATGTAAAAAAGCGTCTTTGTACGAATAAAATAATGAATATTGCTTTTAATTAATTCTCTTCAAAATGCTTTTAATAAATAACAAACTGTAATTGATTGCCGTTAGAAGGGGGTATTATTACGGAAATTTAGGTCATATACTCAATTATTTTTCCTTCATGAAAACATTAACAAGTATCGATGAGTTCCTGCCACCTACATTCAATTTGGCAACTGATCTGCCAAGAGGCAAACCTGGTTTTAACGACAGGCGGGAAAAGGGGAGGTGTGTGTGTGTGCGTGTGTGTGTGTGTGTGGAAGGGGGAGGGGGAGGAGAACCGCTGTAAAGGACAGATTAACTGCGCAACAAGAGGTGGTTCTATAGACAACATAAAGCTGACAATCTTTACTAGTACCGGTGGTAACGTTTTGGCAAACCCAACACACAGGCCCACATATAGACCTACCCAACACAAGATCCACATATAGACCTACCCAACACACAGGTCCACATATAGACCTACCAAACACATGGTCCACATATAGACCTATCCAACACAAGGTCAACATATAGACCTATCCAACACACAGGTCAACATATAGACCTACCAAACACACAGGTCAACATATAGACCTATCCAACACAAGGTCCACATATAGACCTACCAAACACACAGGTCAACATATAGACCTATCCAACACACAGGCCAACATATAGACCTACCAAACACACAGGTCAACATATAGACCTACCTAACACACAGGTCAACATATAGACCTACCAAACACACAGGTCAACATATAGACCTACCCAACACACAGGTCAACATATAGACCTACACAACACACAGGCCCACATATAGACCTACCCAACATACAGGCCCACATATAGACCTACCCAACACAAGGTCCACATATGATGTTTTCCTGACTGCAACAAGACATGCTGTTTAACCAATAGTTAAATTGTTTTGTCTACAGTTAGGAGGGGGGGGGGGGGGCTACATTTGGGGGGGGGGGCTACATTTGGGAACAATGGCATAGCAATTTGGCTAACCGTGGCTTACACAAGAAATGACAGGCCGCTAGCTAGAGGTCGTAGTGTCAGCTCTGGGTCAAGGTCGCCATCTACTTGACCTACTTTATTCAAGAATGTTTAATAACTGTTTTCGGCAGTTTAAATATCTCCCCCCCCACCCCTCAGTCTAACCTGCCACTAAACAAGTTCTCGCTTTCTGGTGTCAAGTTACCAGGTCTGTCAAGTTCCCAGGTCTGTCAAGTTCCCAGATCTGTCAAGTTCCCAGATCTGTCAAGTTCCCAGGTCTGCTTACATTCTAAAAATGTTGCATAGCTTTGGAATTTTAACTTCAAAATATAGACTAGTGTAGTACAGGGCATGGGCATATTAACAAGTTATGGGCATATTAATAGGGCATGGGTATATAAAGAGGGCATGGACACATCCCAGTCAAGACCCCAGTCAACTTTGAGCAAGTCACCAATGAACGGCCGTGATGGTACAATCAGCTTATCTAGGTCACACGTCAACATTGTATAACAGAGAGAGGGGCGGGAAGGTGGGGTAAACGCATACTGAAATGCTTTAGAGGAGATTTTTTGAATAGTCTCAAGCGGGATCTAAACAGCTAGGAGAGTGTGTGCACGGTGACCGACATATTGACACATCTGTGACCTACATCTGTACCACGTGACGTCACGATAAGCGGACACAAGAGTTAACACAGGACACATGTGTGGAGTTTGTACGACCCTAAAAGGGGTCGGGATCCCGGGTTGGATGTAAATTTCTTAGATCAGAACAATTTGAGTCAGCCAACAAAATACAAGGCCTACTTCAGGTTCTTACTGTCTGTTATAAGGCTGGGCATGGCGCTATATGACATGACATGACACCAGATGACATGGCTGGTATCATGACATGACGTCACAGAAGCAAATGACGGTTGTGATCATGACATGACGTCACAGAAGCAAATGACGGTTGTGATCATGACATGACGTCACAGAAGCAAATGACGGTTGTGATCATGACATGACGTCACAGAAGCAGATGACGGTTGTGATCATGACATGACGTCACAGAAGCAAATGACGGTTGTGATCATGACATGACGTCACAGAAGCAAATGACGGTTGTGAAGGCCCCTGCTGTAACATTTAAATCTGTTGGCGTGTCCCAATAACTGCTCGCTACACCGGTCAAGTCGAGATCAACTTGCACTAGATCTAGATCTATCCAGCAAAGATCATATGAACCTAACCGGCTAACCGGCAAAGATCAGATGAACCTAACCGGCACTAACCAGTTAACCGGCAAAGATCAAATGAACCTAACCGGCACTAACCAGCTAACCAGCTAGTTGTCACGAAACTTACCTTTAGTGTGTCTGCTGTGTGAGAGCCCGCACAATTGTGTGACCACGTACGGCTTGCGGTGATGTAGAGAGAAGACGCACAAATGTGCAGTCACCAGCTGAACTAGCCAACTCGACTAACGTCTTAACACTGTGACCCTGTGACCCTGTTTACCTACCAGCGGCAACAATGGTGGGTGATAGCAGTAGAGAGTTCGTTTAAGGGGTGGGGTGGGGAGGGGTGTCGTGTAAGGGAGGGAGGGGGTGGGGGTGGAGAGTTCGTGTAAGGGTTGGGGTGGGGAGGGGTGTCGTGTAAGGGAGGGAGGGGGTGGGGTGGAGAGTTCGTGTAAGGGGTGGGGAGGGGTGTCGTGTAAGGGAGGGAGGGGGTGGGGTGGAGAGTTCGTGTAAGGGTTGGGGTGGGGAGGGGTGTCGTGTAAGGGAGGGAGGGGGTGGGGGTGGAGAGTTCGTGTAAGGAGGGTGGGGTGGGGGGACGTGTAAGGGAGGGAGGGTGGTGGGGGTGGAGAGTTTGTGTAAGGGGGGTGGTGGTGGATAATTCGTGTTTGAGGGAGGGGGGGGTGGGGGTAGAGAGTTTAAGGGTTGAGTGGGGGGTGAATCGGAAATTTCGTATAAGAGTGAGGAATAGATTGTTCGTATAGGATTAGGTGGGGTGGGTGGGGTGGAGAGAGTGTAATGAAAATAAAAAGAGGGGGGGGGGAGAGTGGGTTGTTTGTAAGACAGGAAGTAGCTCTATTATACAAGAGAGGCTGGTTGGTGTCATGGTTGTCACGCATGGTTGGTGTCATGGTTGTCACGCATAGTTGCACACGGTGGTCGTGCTACAAGTCACGTGATGGACTAGTGTAAGCTTGTATTATATTGGTGGCATGACACCATTGAGGTTAGCTTGTATTATATTGGTGGCATGACACCATTGAGGTAAGCTTGTATTATATTGGTGGCATGACACCATTGAGGTAAGCTTGTATTATATTGGTGGCATGACACCATTGAGGTTAGCTTGTATTATATTGGTGGCATGACACCATTGAGGTTAGCTTGTATTATATTGGTGGCATGACACCATTGAGGTTAGCTTGTATTATATTGGTGGCATGACACCATTGAGGTTAGCATGTATTATATTGGTGGCATGATACCATTGAGGTACGCTTGTATTATATTGGTGGCATGATACCATTGAGGTACGCTTGTATTATATTGGTGGCATGACACCATTGAGGTTAGCTTGTATTATATTGGTGGCATGACACCATTGAGGTTAGCTTGTATTATATTGGTGGCATGATACCATTGAGGTTAGCTTGTATTATATTGGTAGCAAGGCACCATTGAGGTTAGCTTGTATTATATTGGTGGCATGACACCATTGAGGTTAGCTTGTATTATATTGGTGGCATGACACCATTTAGGTTAGCTTGTATTATATTGGTAGCAAGGCACCATTGAGGTTAGCTTGTATTATATTGGTGGCATGACACCATTGAGGTTAGCTTGTATTATATTGGTGGCATGACACCATTGAGGTTAGCTTGTATTATATTGGTGGCATGACACCATTGAGGTTAGCTTGTATTATATTGGTGGCATGACACCATTGAGGTTAGCTTGTTGTTGTTGCCCCACACAATCTAGCCTCCCCAAATGGATGTGATGTGTAACTGTACTGTCGATGTATGGATGAGAGAAAGATGGGCCCCTTACATTAAGCATGTAATGTAGACCAATTAAATAGAAGATTCTAATAAAGGGAAACAACAAACATTATTATTGTAATAGGTGGTAATTAAAGGATTGCCTCCCCTTACATTCAAGCCTATGGTTTAAGGAAGACATTGGCAAGGTTGTTAAACAGTCCAAAGATGTACAGGTAACGTCCTGTCCCTGGGGACCATCAGCTGTGTGGGGGTGGGGGTCTGATACATGGGCAGCGTCTCGGGGAGGGGGTCTGATACATGGGCAGCGTCTGGGGGAGGGGGTCTGATACATGGGCAACGTCTAGGGGAGGGGGTCTGATACATGGGCAGCGTCTGGGGGAGGGGGTCTGATACATGGGCAACGTCTAGGGGAGGGGGTCTGATACATGGGCAGCGTCTGGGGGAGGGGGTCTGATACATGGGCAGCGTCTGGGGGAGGGGGTCTGATACATGGGCAGCGTCTGGGGGAGGGGGTCTGATACATGGGCAGCGTCAAGGGGAGGGGGTCTGATACATGGGCAGCGTCTGGGGGAGGGGGTCTGATACATGGGCAGCGTCTGGGGGAGGGGGTCTGATACATGGGCAGCGTCAAGGGGAGGGGGTCTGATACATGGGCAGCGTCTGGGGGAGGGGGTCTGATACATGGGCAGCGTCTGGGGGAGGGGGTCTGATACATGGGCAGCGTCTGGGGGAGGGGGTCTGATACATGGGCAGCGTCTGGGGGAGGGGGTCTGATACATGGGCAGCGTCTGGGGGAGGGGGTCTGATACATGGGCAGTATCCGGGGGGATAGCACAAGCAAACTTTATCTAAGGAGATTCTCTCCTGCTATCTGGACGTTGCCCTATTAGCCACGGAAAAAAA